AGTTTTTTAATCAAGAGGATTCTTAGAAATTTGTCAAAAATTTAGTGTTATGGTATTTTTTGCTATATAGTTTTATATTTCAAATATATTTCTCAATAAATCTGGTTCTATTGTAATTTTCAAAATTAATCTACTCTAACGTCCTTATTGCATTCTCAAAATATACAAGTATTCGAAAACAATTGCATTAGATGAAATTGACCAACACCCTTTCTTCCACCAAACAGCTTCCGTGAATTCAAGAGGTATAGGCTATTTTTAAACAATCTCACCCATACGGTAACATCCGTACCGCAACATCAAAAAGCTCAAGAAAATTTATTCACCTTCACTACAAGATTCTATACTCGTTTTTAGTCAATGCTTCTTTGATTGACAATTTGAATTTGTATATGACCTTCAAAGTTATTCCGATTAACCTAGATAATCTTTCTTACTGGTGTTTTTAATAAGAATGAAGGTTAATTAGGCAAATTTATGACCAAAAGTCTCATGAATAATGATCATAAATGTAGTCAAAATCTAAATTTGTACTAATTTTACCAATAAGAATGACTCAATAGGTGACTAGTTTTTTATTTGATTACTTGTTATTAAATCTTCAAGGAGTTTAAAATTTATTTGACATCTCTCAAGTTTTACAACATTTTTGCATGAAAATGGTTGCAAATTTATTTTAATTTTTTAGTTTTATTCATTAAACATATTAATATTTTTCATTAAACTAAGATGTCAAATCGATTAGTAGATCTAGACAAAAATATACATTATTTCTTTAAGTATTTAACGATCCTATACATTATTTAAAAAGCAACAATATCATTTGTATTTGATGGTTTCCATCCTGCAATACCTATATAAGAACCTTCATCATACCTTAAAGCTAAATTTAAAAATCTGGAAAAAGAAGATCCCCAATTCCAATCTTTTGAAATATAAATCATATAACTACAGTGCTGAGCACCTGGTACACAATCGGGCCCAGTAAAAGCTAATACTGGAATAGTATAACTCTTACCATAAATACTTACAGTCATTGTTCTATCTTTAATCAAATCATAGGAAACCATACCCCAGTAATTAAATGGATCAGAAGGTAAAGCGTCTAAAAGAGCTTCTTGAACTTCTTTACTGACAGAAATTCCATAATTTCCTGTATCTAAAGTTACAGTTTGATTAATTTTTACTTTATTACCATTTATATTAACAAAATCCACATGACCAACAAAATTATTGTCTTTAATTGAAGTCCAAGTGTAATCTTCAGTCATTTGAGACTTACTATAACCACCCAAAAATAATTGCAAGCTACTAGCACTTTGGTTCTTTTGATTTATAGCAAGAATTGGTTTAGAAATTAATCCTGCTTTATAAGCATTCCATACTATATTTTGATTTTCATCACCTTTTGGAGGTTTAGCAAGTCCAAGAATACCATTTGACCATACCGATCCAATTTCTTTAACATCATTAAATAAAGTTCCTGGAATTTTAAAGTTCAAACCATACCATATATCATCAATAACACCTTCTCCATTAAAATAAGCATTGGTACCAAAACTAGATTTTAAAATTCTGCCCGTTTTTTTTGCAGTTGTAGATTTCTTAACATCATATAAACCTACTTTACCATTTGGTAACAAACACCTATCACACTTACTGGCAACATCAGGTACTTGAGTTAACCAACTTCCAGTATCGACAAATAATGAAACTTCATCTTTATTTGACCCAATCGGTAAGGTTATTTTAGGAAGACTGCCAATAGAAAATGTATAACCATGTTCACCAACTTGTCTTTTTATCAAATCTGTTGAGACTGTGTCAAATTGCATATCTAATGCAATAACCCCATCTCTTGGCTCATTTTGAAGGATGCTCGCTTGAACAACAGTAGCAACCAATGCACCTACACAAACAAATAACAATTGTGAAAACATTTTAAAACTTTCTTGATTTGAGGATTACTTACGATGTTTTGACAATTCATTGACAATATGCCAAATAATGCTATTTTATATCATTTGAACTTCCAGTACTAAAAACTACATCAAATTCCCGCAACTCACCAAGAAAAAAACATGAGCTAGAGCCAGTCTATAATACTGACTTAATCATGTTGCAGTTTTACAAAAATGTTTAACATATCGACTCCACTAGTTTTGAAGTTTTGAACAATTGGCTAGTTTTAGTTTGTGTACAATCAAAAACAAAAAAAAAGGGTTGTTTTTGGGCTTGACACAAAAATGATAGAGAACATTTTTAGATAATTGTTGCAAAATGAACTAAAATTAACTAATTTTTAAATGGAGAATTCAAATTCAAATTTCCCATATGTGACTTCGAATTCACTTTAGTTTCTAAAATTGGTTCAAAATGGGAACGGTGAGATCTTTTATATCAACGAGCTTTTAGTTTTCGTGTCAGCTTTTTCATGTCCTCAAGTCCTAATGCAAGTTGAGCATAAACCAATTTTAGATTAAGAGCTGACACAATAAATTAAAAAAATGAATTCTTACTAAAATCTACTAAATTCTTTCAAAAAATTTATTGATTTATTACGAGTAAATTTCAAACCTATTGGAAATGAAAACTAAAATGTAGCAAATAAATTGATAATTGGTTTTGATATTTACAAAGAATTAATAAATTTCAGTTGAATACTAGCTTTGTAGCTAAGTTCCACGTTTCTACTTCATTTAATAATTCAACCGAGTTTTGTATCAGTAGAATTAGTTAATTGCATTTGTGACAGTAACTAAAATATCAGAACAAAGCGTAGAAGTTTTATTAACCCATTTGTAAAACATGTATTTAAAAAACTTTTTTTTTTAAGTTGTAATTTTTATCTATATTCATATTGTCCAAGACTATTTAAACTTATTGAAGACGAGCTTTATTTGATTGTTAAGAAGCTACATTAATAGTTATAGAGAAATACTTATTCAGAAAAAAATTAAACAATAATAACTACTATTTAAAATACCATAAGTAAATAATACCATCCATTTCCCTAGCTGGCCAGACTTGAAAAATTTATATATATCACTTAACTTGATGAAATTTTTAATTTATTTTTGAATTGTAATTTTTTTTTTTTTTTTTTAATACTTTGTATTTAATTTTTATATAAGCAAATTGAATGAATTGAAATTAAGTAATAATTGCATTTAGATTCTATGTAAGCTAATTGATCAAGCCATTTAGGACAATTAGAAGGTATACTTGATATGATAAATTTACTAGTTTTATTTTATATGGTTGAACTAACTCCAGAACCCCACGAATGGTGCAAGACTACTAAAATCTATTATTAGTATATATATGATAACCTAAGAAACTTTCAATTTTGACAATATTTCTAATAAATAGAGAGTTAGAGAAAACTACAAAATTGAAAACAATCAAGTTAATTGATTTTATTAACTTATAAAACTAAAAACGAAAAACTTAAAATAAAAATATTGTGAACTAAAAATGTAGTTGAAAGGTGTTTATCCATTATTAAAACTATAGGTGGCCAGTCTAAGGTTGTTGTAATGAAAATTTCGTTGATATCTTTTTTGATCTATAATTGAAAAATTGCTAATGTTGATGATGGTAAAAAATTAAACCTTGATGATTTTCAAATGTTGAAAATGTTAATTTTTAAATGTTGAAAATGTTGATTTTTAAATGTTGAAAATGTTGATTTTTAAATGTTGAAAATGTTGATTTTTAAATGTTGAAAATGTTNTTGGTTATCCAATTTTAAGAACCTTTGAAAAATTCAGTGTGAAGTACTAATATCAAATTCTGGTAAAAATCCCACAAAATAACGATATTGTGATTAAATTCTCAAAAATTTAAAAAATTTAGTTCTTTTTGAATTTATTTTTAATTGATTGTTAAGTTCATCAAATAATCTTTCTTGTTCTTGATCTGAATTTGTAATTAAATGATCATTAATAAACGAAGCATTTTCATTTCCTTCATCTTCATTTAATTGATTATTATCATCAGCAGTTTCATCTGTACTTGAATTATTTTGCTCTAAATTTTTGCTTGAACCTACTTTATAAACATCATCAAATAATTCTAAGGTCTGAGCAGCATTAAACCCGTTTCTCCTCTTCTTCACAAGGACAGTTCCATAATCCTTGACTTGGTAGTCTTTTGTATTAACAACCACAAAATTGTTATCTTCTTCATTAGGTAAAGCAGAACTAGATTTATTATGTGTTACAATTTTATTTTCATCATTATTGGAATTGTTCAGAGTTGGACTAAATATAACTTCATCAGATACAATTTCATTTAACTTGTAACAATTACATTCTGAATCAGCTTCTGTTTTATTTGAATTAGCTTCACTTGATGATTCATTAGATATATTTTTTCTTCTTCTTGGTAAATAATTGGTAGATCTAAAATTTCCAATATAAGCTTCATAATCTGAGTTATTTACTAGTGACTCCAAATCATCCTCATTTTCGAAATCAATTTTAGCAACTTTTTCAACTTGATCATTAACCATAAATTTAATAGTTTCTCCATTTTCATCAATTTCAATTGCTCTTTCTCTATTAGTATCTGGTGTCGAATCTGCAATTCCTCTATCATCTTCCTTACCAAAACCTGGTGCAAAGTCGTTTTTGTAAGCAATAATTTCTAATTCCTTAATTGCAACACCATCTTCTAAAACATTTGTAACAATTCCATGATTGTCATCGAATTCTAATTTTTGTTGTTGTTGTGAATTAAATGGTCTTGCATAAATACCAGTATCACTTAATTCATCTCTAATGATTGTAACTGGTGATATACAACCTGCATCAAATAATTGATTATTATGTAAAACTGTAATTCTAGTTAAATCTTGTTGTAATTTTTCAAGACTTTCTGGGTCCATTTCTGTAATTAATTGATGAATTTTTTTAATCGATTTTTTAATTGATTGGTTTTTAAATGGTTTGGTGATAAAGTTTTTGATAATATTTTTTTTATTTGATTGATGGAAACACATTTTAGTAATTAAGATAAGTTTAATTTCTTGTTTTAAATTTGTAGTTGTATGAAACTTAAAAGTAAGAAGTAGTAGTTGGATGAAATTTAAAACTTCTAAGTTGTAGATGTATGAAACTTAAAGTTTTTGATTTGTATAAATCTTAAAGAATAATATACTGCAGCTGTAGTATAAATTTCGATTATAAATTATGAATTAAGTTGATTTTACTTCCTATGGAACTATAAGTTGTGTGATATACTTTTGTTCTATAAATTTGAAATTTATGATATGAGAAAAATTGAGTGTAATATGTGTATAATCCTAAAATTGATTGATATACTGATAAGTATATATCTGAATATTATTATAATATAATTGTATTATATAATTGATATGTGTAAATCTGAACTTTGTAGTATGTATTGAAGTTCAAAGTTTGAATAAGCTTTAATATGAGTAATGTTGAATCTAATTTTTGTAAAACTTAAAAGTTGTGTGATATACTCTTATTGTATAAATTTGAAATTTATGATATGAGTAAAATTGATTGTAATATGTATTTAATTTTACAGTTGATTGATATACTGATGTATATATATCTGAATATTATTATAATATAATTGAAATTTTTAGTTGATATGTGTAAGTTTAAGCTTTGTAGGATATTTTGAAGTTCAAAGTTTGAGTAAGTTTTAATATGAGTAAAGTTGATTCTAATTTTTATAAAACTTAAAAGTTGTGTGATATACTCTTGTTGTATGAATTTGATATTTGTGATATGAGTAAAATTGACTGTAATAAGTATATAATTTTAAAGTTGATTAATATACTGATGTGTATATATTTGAATATTATTATAATATAATTGAACTTTGTAATGAATATGTGTAAATCTGAACTTTGTAGTATGTATTAAAGTTCAAAGTTTAAGTGTGTTTTGGTTGATTATGAAAAAAAAGTGATATCAATTTTTGTGAGGATTTAAGAAACTTTTTGATTAATTTATACTCAGTGATTTGAACTATTTTGGAATGCTAATTTAACTATTTGTAGTGACATAATTGTGAGTGTAGATTCGGATCTATACATGCAAATTTAAATAGATTTTGCAAAGCTTATATAAACTAATTTGAACTAAGAAAATATTGGTAGCGCTTTTGTTTTAGGACCCTTTAATTTATACCCTTGTATAAAATTTATAGTTTAAAACGTTCGATGCTGAATTCAATTGAAATCCCAGACTGTATCAGTTGGTTTCCAATAAATGTTTTTTGATTCATAATGTAAGTATTTTTCAAAATATCTAACTTACGATAAAAACATGTAGTTTTAAACTTAAATTTGAAATGTAAAATAGTACTTAAAATTAATAATCTGACATAATAGATTCAAAGCATCCAACTATAGCAGCATCGACTACTAATATTTCATTAAGACTTTGGGGCCCTGTTCCAAATTGTGATTGTTGTGAGTACCACATATGTAAAATACTTGGTTGAGCTATGTGATCCACTAGATGAATAAGATATTCCACCATCTGATGACACTGTTGACTGAAATTTATGAGAAGTTGGTAATGCTCTTGAAGAAGATCTTGGTACTGAGGTGAGTTCATTCACTTGATCGCATTATTATTGGTATTGGTGGTATCGTTGGGAGTATTATTATAGGAGATTGTAGAATGAAACTTCTGTCTATTTAATAAATTGCTCTAATTCTTCACCAATTGATTCTCGAGTTAAACTTCTTCCTATATTTCATAACTAATCTTATGCTCGTGTTGGCAAATTTTCAGTATTGTTACTCACGTTGACAACTATGACGTGATTAGTCATTGACGGATACGATTTTGTCAAAACCTCGTTATTGACGCATCACCTATTTATGTCTCTGGATTTAGCTGCTTACGAGTTTCGTTGTTATTAGTTTCACAAGGTGTTGCTGATGATGTAATTGATGTTAAAGATATCGGTTCTGATTTCGTGGTAGATTACCCAATTTCATTAAATTTGCGTTTAACAATAAAAGTTATTACTTAATTGATTATATATATTCTGACTATGGACAGGTTAGTGGTGGGACAGGTTGATATAAATGCATTACGAAACGATTACATTGCGGTGGCAATAAGTATTGTTAAAAAGAACTTGATGAACAGTATGAACACACTTGATTATAATAAATTTGTTGTTGATGAGTGCTTCCACAATTGTGAATTGGCGACTATAATGTTAATGAGGTAATTGAGTTGGTTGTAATCCAATTCACATTATAGAATTGTTATAGAATTGTTCTAATTGATATTGAATAGTCTGGTTGTAAATAAAAACTTATAATCTGAGTTATGTAGTCTATGTATTTAGTATTTCAGATTCAATATGAATCTTGATTTAAGTCCCCACATTGTCATTATCACTTTTATCTTGTCTGGCAGAAATTGGACAGATCCAGTCGACATATGGACTACTTACTCACAGATTACTTTCAACGTCTAGTCAAATTGTTCTTTAAAGATGATTAGGTTTATTAATTCTTCCTCAGGATAAGTTTAAGATGTGCATCATGTTACAAGCTTCCTTAAAATAGTAAGTTTTGTTTAACAGAATATGATGTTGAATTTATTTTCTATTGTCGTATATATATCATGTTAATTGTATTTGTTCGTTAGAAAATACTCTGAGTTGTAGCATTGATCTTCATTATTATATAGTCCAAAGAAGGCAATTATTTGTCATTCTTAATTACTATATAACTACCTTGTTTCAAATTATTATTGCGTCTTAAGATAAAGGAATTAATAATAGAAAAAAGAATTGACTAGGAGGACTGAAAGATACTTACAATTTACTTAATAAATTTCATCACAGTTTCACTTCAACATACAGGTATTGCACACTTATTGACAACAATTCAATTGTTCATCAATCAGTTCCTAATTACAGTATAGTGTAAAGAATGACGTTTCAAGAAATCATCCAAAAATTAAACAAGAAACTGCAAAACTTCAACAGAATAAATCTAAGTATTATACCGCAATCAGTATTAAAATGGAGAATAACAGATTTAATATTATTAGTTGCTTTGGTGGTAATATTTTTCATAACGTACCACGTCAAACCTTTCCATAGACAGTTTTATCTTGGAGATATAACGATTCAACATCCTTTCGCAGAAAGGGAAACAGTAAATAATACTGAACTATTTATGTATTCAACTTGGATTCCACTATTGGTTACATTCGGAGTTTCAATCTTATTAACAACCACAAAATATAAAGTATATAACACTTATGTCGCGTGTTTGGGATTAATCTTAGCGGTTTTGATAACTTCTATAACTACTGACATTTTAAAGAATTGGATAGGGAGATTAAGACCAGATTTCTTGGAAAGATGTATACCTAAAGAAGGAACACCTCTAGATAAATTAGTATCAATTGAAGTTTGTACACAAACAGATATGGGAAAATTAGAGGATGGATTTAGAACAACTCCAAGTGGTCACTCGTCAATAAGTTTTGCAGGGTTAGGATATTTAGCTATGTTTTTATTGGGACAGTTGCAAGCTTCTAATACTTGGGTTGGTAGTTGGAGATGGTTGATTGGTGGGTTTGTACCTTTGCTTGTTGCTAGTTTCATTGCATTAAGTAGAACTCAAGATTACAGACACCACTTTGTTGATGTTTTTATTGGTTCAACTTTGGGATTAGTTATTGGTTGTTGGTCTTATTTTAGATTGTTTCCTTGGATAAATAATCCACAAAGTTTTTACAATTTGATTATTATTGAAGAAGAAAATTCAGAGCAGGTCAAAAAGAATGGTGATTTTGTTGTTGGTGATGATGAGAATACAAGTTATACTAGATTAAATAATGTTTAAGGGTTTACGAATTAATGCTTTTTTAATTAGGGTATCTAATTAGTTTATAGTTTGGAATTTGAAATTCTCTCTAAATCTTCACATTAATGTAGTTCTACCACCAATTTCATTACTTGGTGTACCATCAGGTAAATTACCATCTCTACTATCAACGAATTGAGAATAAATTCTATTCAATTTTTGTTTCTCTGTAAGTGAAATTGAGGGTTTTGTCTCCTTCAAAGAATCTAAGAAATTAGTTTGAGTAATCAAAACTCTTGGATCTTCCGACTTCTTGTCTGCTGTTTTATCTTTTATTTGTGAATGTTTTTCATTTGATGTAAATTGTTGAATTTGATGTAATAATTTTACCCTTTCAGTTGATTTTAATTTTAAATTTTTATCATCACCACTAACTTTGAAAAATTCAATATTTGATTCATCATTATTTGTACCTTTCTCCTCCGAATTTTCTTGTGCTTCTAATGCTTCTAGTCTGACGTGAACAGCCTTCAAATATGCATTATAACCTAACCCTTGCATATCAGCACCACTAAATCCATTTGTATTTTTAGCAATTTCATTCAAATCAACATCATCACTTAATTCCATTTTGTTGGTTATACTTTTTAAAATATCCAATCTATCTTCATAATTGGGCATATCACAAATTACACTTTTATCTAATCTACCAGGTCTTAACAATGCACTATCAATTAAATCTGGTCTTGAAGTTGCTGCTAATACATAAACACCATCCAAACCCTCAGCACCATCCATTTGTGTTAACATTTGATTAACTACTCTATCAGTAACACCAGTAGAATCATGACCTCTTTTTGGTGCAATCGAATCAAATTCATCAAAAAATAAAATACATGGTTTTGCAGCTTGTGCTCTTTCAAACAACTCCCTAACACTTTGTTCTGAAGCACCAATATATTTATTCAAAATTTCTGGACCTTTAATGGATATGAAGTTTAATCCACATTGACCTGCAACTGCACTTGCTAGTAAAGTTTTACCACATCCCGGATATCCATAAAGTAAAATACCTGATCTTAATCTTAATGGACAATTTGCAAATATTGGTGCGTATTTGGTGGGCCATTCTAATGTTTCCAATAAAATATTTTTAGCGTCTGTTAATCCACCAATATCTGACCAACTTGTGCCTGATTTTTGTAACTTCACACCTCTTAAACTTGATGGAACAAAATTTTCCAATGCCTTCGTGACGTGTGCTGAATCAACTACATTTTTCTGTTCTTCTTCTTCTGTGGTTGGTGATGATAAACATTGATGGTATATTCTGTCACATAAAATTTTCAAATCATTTGGTAGATAACCTTCTGTTTCACTGACTAAATCCATTAAGTCAACATTTATTTTACATTGTAATTTTTCAGACAATTGACTTTCCAAAATCTTGAACCTCAAAGATTTATCGGGTGCGTTGATATGATAGAAATTTTCTATTAAATGACTACCCAACAACAATTTATTAATACTTTCTTTTGAAGTAGCAGAAAGTAATATTGAAATATTTGAATCTTGTTGATTATGTAATTTAGTTAATTGTGAGATGAAAAATTCAGTAGTTTGATTTGATTTTGTTGCATCCATATTTTCCATTTCGATATTCATTATCTTATCAACATTATCTAATATTAACAAAGATGGTTTATTCCATGAACATTGTTGTAACCATTTGAAAATATGATTTTTGGATAAGTTTTGAAAATTTTCATTCATCAATGTATCACATGAAATGTATTTTGTGAAAAAACCATGCTCTTGATTTAATTTTTCACTTATCTTTTTCAAGTATAATGTTTTACCACTTCCTGAATGACCGTATATTAATGTACCTGTATTTTCTGATATTACAAAAGCATCAACTAAATCTTCTATTGCGGATTCAGTTCCAATTGCTTCTGATTCTTCGACTGGTGAGATGTTAGAATTAAGATCTTGGATAAATGATTGTGGTCTTAGCAACTCATCACCCAATTCTATTTTAATTGGTTTTTTGGTATTTAAATCATAAGGTCTAATCCATGCATTATAACTTTCATTTTTTCTAAATCTTAATATCCCACCATAGGGTAAAATACCTGGTATATTCGGTATTTTCATAAAATTTGTAATTGGCCATGTTGATATTTGAGGATATAATGCATCTGTTAATTGTTGAATTGATTTATTTGTTTTGGTTTGATTTATTTCTTTCTTTTTGTTGGAATTGATTATATATGGGCATATGACAAAAGTAGTAGGACGTTTTGGTGAACTTTTAATTGCAGGTTTTAAAACTACTATATTCCCAGTTTGACCAAATACATTTAATGCAATTGATAAATCTTTTGAAAGTCCAATATTATTATTACTTGATTTCTTGTAGTTTACAAGTTTTGCAATTATTCTTTTATTTTCCTTAATATCGTTTTCATTTTCTAAATTGTTTTTCAAATCATTTGGACCAGATACAATTGATACTGCAACATATGAATCAAACTCTTTTGGTAAGTCATTAAAGTCGACATAAACTTGGTATCCAGATCTTTCAGTGGTGTCTTTATACAAGTTATGTGGTAAACTAATTCCTCTTCTCAAAATCAGTGTTAATCCATTATAATCTTCTTTTCTAACACTCTTCAGACTTGTGACACTTTTACTATCTGTAGTTACTTCTTTCTTCTGTCTCACTTTTGGAGCAATTGCAATTTCACAATATGGAGATATTTTGGCAAACTTGTTTTCATTGTTCCCAATATCGGTAACTATTAATTTTGCAGAAGTTGTAGCATTAGGATAAACAACTAATATCTGATTTAAGGCAACACATCTACTTTGATTCAATAATTTATCTTCAATTAATTGAGCATTTAGTTCAACTACTTCCCAATCTGAACTAGTTAATGGTTCCAAGTTTATATTTGTTGCTTCATAATTACCAATTTTTAAGTTGACTATGATTGATGATTTATCTAAAATATTTAATGATTGTGCAAAAATTGGATCGATCTCTAATGTTTGTAGTTTCGAGGATGACATTCCTGACCAGCCTGCATAGTATTTTGATGGTTGTTTCTGCTGTTTGTTAGTTGACGGTACAATCATTTCGATGATAATATCTTGGACTTGAATATTGGCTGTAAATAAAAGATTTGTTAAATTTGATGGTAAATTCACCAAATTTGACTTTAAAGTCTTGTATGCAATTGTCACTTTGTGATTATCCATGCTTATACTACTTATGATGTTGGTTATCTGGTGCTATACATAAATCTAGTATAATTTTGAATTACTGATGGTGATAAATTATGGTGGTGAATGTCTATAGTGCAACAATTTTTCTGTTTGTAAAAATTAATTTTTCATACCGAAAGGTGGGGAAGAAATATTTTTTTAGCACGGTCCAACTCAAAAAAGATTTTTGATACATAGAACAACAACTTTGATTTGACTTTCTACTATTTGATCAAAACTACATTATACAAAGAAACAATTTTGAGAGCAATAACAATCCTAATCAACAATCAGATTTAAACTCATCATCGAGAATAACAAAAACTTCATTAAATCATTTATTAAATAAATCTATTTACAAGTAAAATAAAACCCCAACTTATTTCCTACTATTAAAATCTTCAAACTTCTCTAAATCTTCCTTTGTACTTTGAGACTTTTGCATTTCCTCCCATTTTTTCTTATGTTTTTCTTCTTTATCATGTTTAGCTTTTTCAACCATTTCAAAAGATCTTCTTCTCAAAGATCTACATTGTTCCCAACCAACTAAATTCCCTAGAAAGAATCCACCCATTGACCAATTCAAAGCTTTACTAGGATTTTTATGTATCAAAAATGTAATAACTCCCAAAACTCCCATTGCTTGAAATCCCGTAATCATAGCTTCTCTAAAACATGGCATTGTCACGAATCTATCCACACTAAAGTCCGAAAACTTTATAGTGCGTGCTGCATCTGCTAATGTTGGCTGTTTTTGTAGCGGTGGTGGTCTGTTTTGTTGTGGTGGTGAGTCTTCAAATTTTGGAGGTAGATCTTCTAGAAATTGTTGTGGTTTTGGTCTTTCTGGTTCTTTATATTCTGATACGAGTGATACTTTTGACGGTGGTTGTGGTGAGCTACTTCCACCAAACCAGCCCATTATATATATATTCGTTGAGATATATGATTTCTTTTGCAATTATTTGATGATTTAACAATGCTAGTGATTAAATTTCTGTAACTACTACTATTGATCCAAAGAGCACTACCAAAAGCCCCACTCCAATTTTTCAACTTTGGATCAGTATGAAGAGATCAAGAATTAGACTGTCTACAAAATTTATAGTAAGTCGCTATACTGTTCTCTATAGTTCTTCTTTTATATAAATAATGTTGTACTATATTGTCATTTCAATCAATCAAACTGTCGTGAAATACATCGATATTCAGCTGGATCATGCTACCTCGATGTGATACTCAACCTGGTCCAATGATTGTGCTCTCCAAAAATCTGAACTAATCAACTTAGGTAAATGAGAGTCCAAATATTGTCAAATAACCACAGTGAACGGTATTAAACTTTCTTTCCATAAAAATTGTCGGATTTTTACCTCAAGCATCTCTATCCTGATTTCTATAGCCCATATGTTACAAATCTTTACCCTTTAGATTTCTGTTGAAAACAATTTTGGGCAATGATAAACTCAAGTTCTAATAAGTAATCGTTGTGACGACTCATTTGGTAAATCTTTAACCATTCATTCTATTATTATCAATATCCCCTTCCTCATCTTCTTTCCCATCAAATTCATCCATACATTCGACAATAGTCTTAATATTATCCAAAACATTACTTATAGAAACTCGAATAACTCTATCACTTATACCTGAGAATTTAATATTTAAAACATTTTCATTAGTGGTGTATTCAATTTTCAATTCATCTGATTTTAATACAGGGTCTGGTAGTAGTGTGTTTTGAGCTATTTGAGCTTGTCTTGAAGTCTCAAAAGGGATATTTAGTGTCAATTCTGGCATTTGGACAGCTCTTCGGTATTTGATTTTTGATATTGATTGAAATGTATTGTGAAAAACTTATTTTTTAGAAGTCTAAATATGCGCAGATATAACGCAAAATATTTATCAACAAGGTCTACATGTTAGGAAAGACAGTTGTTTCATTAGTATGTCATTTATTAGAACTATAAACCTCTTTACTTTGCTTCATTCTCAAGAATTATTCTCTAGTGCTAATTTTTCTTGTTCTAGTTTTTTATATTCTACAGCTTGATTTTCAATTTCCTTTTTAACTTTTTCGATATAAATATCCATTCTATTTAATTCATCATTTTCATCGGGTCGTAAATATTCTTGATCTCTCTTGTCTGGGTTTGTTAACTTATAAGGTATCAAATTTCCAGGTTTTCTAGTTAATATTTCAAATACTTTATCAGTTGGTTCATTAAATACTAATTCATCATATAAAATGGAATGAACTTCTCCATTTTCTCTTTTTGGATGTTGAGGATTATAAGGATGTAATTTCAATGGATGAAAAATTTGAAAATTTTTTTCATTTATACCTAAATCTACACCTGGATGAAAATGTAATTTTATTATAATTTCAAATTCTCCCCATCCTGTTTCTGTAACTTGATATGGTGGATGTTCTATTGATCTGATAGGGTTCTCATAAGTTTCATGTAATTTAAAAGTGACTTTCTTTATAAGTGGAGTTAAATCTATTTCTCCTAACACTGGTTTAAAGAAAACGGTCCATTCATGAGTATGATCTGGTGGAGTATTTGGTTTTCTCTTTTCTGGTGTTAGTTTATAAGCATGATTTCCATATAGGACTGGTAGTGATATAGAAACAAATTTTATCCTTCTTGAGTTTGCACTCATTTTAATTTGTGGTTGATTTGATTGATGTAAATGATATTTATTTGGTTTATTTTGTATGATTAATGTATTGCAGTAAGTCAAGTAGAATAATAAAGTAATGTTGTTTTCCTAAGCTTCGTTCCGTGTCGCAGAATCATGTCTATTATTTTTTAGACAAATAGCTACCAAATTTTATGAAAATGTATTATCAATGATTTGAAGTGTATTTTCCTTTAATTTGAGTACCCTTGGAGCTCAATATTGAGCTACGTTAGTAAGTTCAATGTCCTTTCTACAAATCTTGACTATTTACACAACTATGATCATAAATAAAGTTTTGTATAAAATTTGGTTGGTTGTAAAGTAAAGTGACGCGTGTTGAAAAGATTGGAATTGTTTTTTATTTATTTTTTTTGTGTACTACAACTAAATTTTTGAATTGATTTAGATTAAGAGATTACAATTTATTTCAAAACTTTAGTTATTACAATCATCCACAGTATTATAAGAACATGCATAAATCATGGCAACTACTTTAAAACGACATAGGGAAGATGATGCTTTCAATCTGGAAAGTTTAACGGTATGTTGGATCAATCGCAACTTTATTTTGATCTATATGATACTAACCACAGAATTTAATAGGATTCATATATGCCACCTTCACAACAAATTACACTGTCAATGATGAGACCGCAAAAAAGACGGGCCAAAATGACACAAATAAATGAAGATGAAGAAGATGATGGAGAAGACGAAGAATCAGAAACAGAATCAATTGATGAAGATGAAGATAATTCAGCTACAGAAGAAATTATTGGTGAAGATTTTGAAGCACCAGCTCAAGCAGGTATTATAGAAAAATTAAGCTTGAAAAATTTTATGTGTCATGATTCTTTTGAATTAGTTTTGGGACCACAGATCAATTTCATTATTGGTAGAAATGGTTCTGGTAAAAGTGCAATTTTAACTGGTATATCAGTAGGATTAGGTGCAAAAGCAAATGATACAAATAGAGGTAGTTCAATAAGAGATTTAATTAAAGATGGTAAATCCACATCAAGAATAAGCATTACCATAAAGAATGAAGGACCAATGGCTTATAAACCAGAAGAATATGGAAAAAAAATTATTATTGAAAGAAAATTAGTAAGAGTTGGTTCAAATTCTTATGCAATTAAATCTGAACTGGGTAAAACTGTATCACTGAAAAAAGCAGTTTTAGATGATATGCTATATAAATTTAATATTACAGTTGATAATCCATTAGCATTTTTGTCACAAGATAAAGCAAGAGAATTTTTAACTACAGCTACTGCTAAAACTAAGTTTGAATATTTTATGGCTGGTGCATATATTAATGATATACATGATAATTTAGATAGCACTGCTAGAAATATCAGAGATATTGATAGTAGGATTGATCAATCAAAAATTTATCTTTCAGATTGTGAAACAAGTTATAAAAAGACTAAAAAAGTATATGAGACTCATAGAAAAAATGATCATCTTCGAAATAAATTGGAGAATATTGCTGGTAAAGTTTATTGGTTTAATGTTGAAGCTATTGAAAAGAAAATGAAAGAATGTCATGATAATATTCTGGAAGCTGAAAATAAAATTCAAGAAGCTAGAGCTCAAATGGAATTTGCTGATGAAGAAATAAGAGCTAAAGATTCTGAAAAACAACGATTAACGGATGATGTGTTACAAATACAAAATGACTTCGATTCAAAATATCAAGAGTATGAAGATGCTAAAGACGTTAGAGAGTCAATGAAACATCAAATTAAAATGCAAAATGAAGAAATTGCTAAACATGCAAGAGAAATTAAAAACATTCAGGAAGATATAGAATATACTCAGCGAAAACTAGATGAAGAAAGAACAAAAATCGAAGCAGAACAAGGCGGATCAAAAGATCATATGAGAGAAGAATTAGCTTTAGTTTTTGAAGATATCAGAAAATGTGAGGATAAATTAAAAGAAATTAGCGAATCAATTAGAAATCTCGAAAGAAATCCTGATTCAAGATTTGAAGAATTAACTAGTTCTAGAAGACAAGTAGCAGAAGGTATACAAGAACTCAAACAACGTCAAGTAAATTTGGAAAGGGAACAAAATTCTAAATACACTCCATGGGGAGCTAATCGTATGCAAGACATATTTAAGTCTATTAACAGTTTACAATGGTCTCAAAAACCAATTGGTCCACTTGGTAGTTTCGTTGTTGTAAAGAGGCAATACGATGAATGGAAACGATTACTCGATGGTGCTTTGAGTAAACAATTGGATTCATTTATTGTTGCTAATAATCAAGATAGGGTCAAGTTGGCCAAAATTTTGAAGGATAATGGGTTATATTGCAATATTATTGTAAGAAGAACTGAAAAGTTTCATTATGAAAGTGGTAAAGCGAGAGGAACAACTATTTTGGATATGGTAGAAGTTAGTGATGAAGCAGTATTATACGCTTTGATTGATCTTAGTGCAATTGAAAAAACCATTATTGCTAACTCCTTTAATGAAGCTAAAGAATTAAGTATAAGACCAGATGTGTATAATGTTTTGATTCAATTTAGCGATACTTCGGGGTCAAGAATCAGTGATTATAATGGTTTTCGACTGGATCCAATTAATTACTCTGGGAAAATGCCTAAATTTGGAGCTTCAAATAAAGAGGAATTGTTAGAAGATATCAAACTCGACATTCATAGAGAAAATCAAAAATTGAATAACATCGAAAGACAAATGAGGGATGAAAAAAGAATTTTTGAAGAAGAACGTACTAAACTAAATGGTAAAAAAAGAAACTTAAGTCAAGAATTAGCAAGATTGAAAAAAAATAGAACAGAGTTGGAAGATAAAATTGATAAAGAAATTGATCAGAGTATAGCATTAAAATATGAACTGAAAATTGAAGAAGATAAATCACAAATTGAAAGATTAGAAGGTTTAAATCAGTCACTTGCAGAAGATATTGAACTGAAAAAAGGTAACTATCAAGAATCAAGAGATAATCTTAATATTTTGAAACTGTTAGTTAATGAAATGGATCAAAAAAAATATGATGCAACTAATAAATTAGAAGAACTTAAAGAGTATATTAGAATTTTGGAAGATAAAAAGAAGAAAACTGCATATATTGAAACTGAACAACAAACAATTATTGAAAACAATAGAAAATTACTTGGTAGAGGTGAAGGTAAATTACTCGAGTCCATAACAAAAGCGAGAGAATTTTGTAATAGAGAAGAAGTTGAAATTACTGAAGATGATACTCAACAATCTATAGAAGCTGAATACAAAGATATTCAATATCAAATAGAAGAAGCTGAAAGAAATTTGGGGACATCTTTGGAGGTAGTTATAGCTGAATTAAAATTAGCTCAATCTAAGAGAGATAATGCAAGAGATAATCATCAACATCTTGAATTTATTCATCACAGATTAGAAGAAGAAATAAGCATAAGAATATCATTTTTAAGTACAACTATAAGTCATGCGGTCAATTTAGCAAGACGTACATTTGAAGATGCAATGGAATTAAGAGGTTTCAAAGGATCATTAAATATGAATTTTGGTGAAAGATCTTTAGAACTTTTAGTTAAAACAAAACAAGATGATAAAACACGTACAGTTGAATCATTATCAGGTGGTGAAAAATCATATACACAAATTGCCCTTTTATTATCAATTTGGCAAGCTATGAATTCTAAAATTAGAGGTTTAGATGAATTTGATGTTTATATGGATTCCATAAATAGATCAATTAGTATTAAATTATTACTTACTGAATTAGGAAGATATCCTAAATCTCAAAGTATATTTATAACACCACAAGATATTGCAGTTGTTGGAGATTTAACTAGTTCTAATGTTAGAATTCATAAGATGTCTGATCCAAGAAGTGATAATTAGCTTGAGGCGGTTTTTGCTATTTTGTTTTTTCAATTCTAATTGTATAATTTTTTTCACTGATATAAGTAATTTAATAATTTTAAATATTTACACTTATTAATTTATCTCTATTTACAAGTATATTTACCTAAATGCAGAAATTTTGTCATTAATATGACCATTGTTATGTTGAGTATAAAATTTAAGTATATCTTCTTTCAAAGTGATTTTTTCTTTATTATCCTTTAATGATTGTAGTATTATAAAAAAGCTTTGATTTGTAATAATTCTTTTCCCAATATTTGATAAATTTTTTAGGTAATTAAATGCCAATTCATGTTTATTTAATTTACATAATGATGATATAATAAATAAATTTAAATAAAAATGATTTAGTTTAGTAAATGTAATTAATTGATTAACTGAGAATATTTCTTCTTTTTGAATATAATTGTAAATTAGATTTTCAAAATTAGGTAAATCTTTTAATAATATTGATTTTTTCAAAATAGGGTTTATCCTTATTGGTTTTGTAGTATATGTAGTATATATATTTCTTTGAATAATTGGATTATATAATTCAGTTTCACATATCTTACTTAATAAAAATTGATGAATATCGAGTTGTTCAGTTGATGATTCTATAATTTCAGGAATTTTATACTTATTTGACTTAATATTTTCATTTATAAACTTATTGAATTTACGATTTTCAAATCTTAATAAACTTGGATTATTTTTTTCAGAAGTGTTTGAAGCGTATGATAAGTTTTTGAATGATCTTAATGAGTTTTCTAAATCTTGTGCTAGGGAGTATGTTTCAACTTCTAAGACTAATAATGATCTATATGTATCTAAATGGTGTAAAAATGAATAAAATCGACGAAAATACCTCATTAGACCTTCTATTCTTTTGGAATCTTTATTGTTTTTGAAAATTATACCTAGCGCAATTAAAGTATTACAATCAACTAAAAAAGGTATTTGATCATTATCTTGAACTCCATATGAAAGTTCCTCGTAGAACTTAACATTATCTATTAATTCATGATATATAAACATTGCTCCAATATAGTAATTTTCTAATAATACCTTGTTAATAATAATTGACCATATTTCATTGGGAATTTGATAATTGGGATTTTGTAGTAAAATATGTTGAATTGATATTGCTGCTTGAATATTTTGTTGGAGTAAGTTGTAGGTGAATGCTATAAGTGATTCTTGATTTAGGTATGAATGGTTTTCAATAACGTATGAATAAATATGTGCTATTGATTTTGTCTTTATACTTTCTTCAAACTCTTGATTTGCAATTAATTGGTGAAAATTGTTGGTGATGTTGTTAGTGGTTGAGTATTTTCTGAAATGCCGTAGTATAGGTCGTATTCTTGCTCTAGTATGTATCATCTGTAGGTGGTTGTTATATCTTCATCTCTAATAGTTGTACAACGATCGTATGATCGTTAGTGCTTTAAGCTATTTTGGTCGCAAAAAAAATTATATTGGTACTGAAAATTTTCGTGTTTTAAAATTTTTCAATACAATTAGTACCTTGATCTAACTAATTGAAAATGTTTAGGTTGGGTATATCACGTTGTAATGGTTCAATACTAAGGAATCAACTCAGAATTACCAAAATACAACCACCAGTTTCAAAAATCAATATACCCAAAATAACATTCTCATCATCAATATCAATTCGTAATAATTCAACTTCAACTTCAAATACAACATCACAAGAAATTCAAGATAAATTAGTATTATTCGATCATCATCCAGACTTATCTCAAGCGGTATCAAATCCAAATATACATTCAGATCAAATTGGATATTTAGAATCAATAGGATTAGGTCAAGGTTGGGGTCCAACTGCAATAATTGAAAAGTTATTAGAATATACTCATGTTTATACTGGTTTACCATGGTGGTCAACAATAGTTGTTTTAGCAGTAGCAGTAAGAGTAGTATTATTTCCATTATATGTAAAAGCAAGTTCAAATGCTACAAGAATGTCTGAAATAAAACCACAATTAGATAAAATAATGAAAGATATAAAAGGTGGGGATATTCAAGATCAAATGAAAGGAATGGAAAAAAGAAAAAAATTAATGAAATTACATAATGTTTCAACTTTAGCTGGTTTAGCTCCAGTTTTACAATTACCATTGGCTTATGGATTTTTCCAAGCATTAAGAAAAATGGCAAATCATCCAGTTGAAGGTTTTAATGATCAAGGTATTGCATGGTTTACAAATTTAAGTGATGTTGATCCTTATTTGGGTTTACAAGCTATTGCTGCTTTATGTATTATAAGTGTTGTTAGAATGGGAGGAGAAACTGGTCAACATGCAATGGCTAAAAGTATGCAAAAAATAATGACAATTGTTCCAATAGCTTCTATTTTTATAACTAAAAATTTTTCAGCAGCTATAGTATTATATTTTGCAATTAATTCCATTTTATCATTAATTCAAAGTTTAATTTTTAAATCAAATTATTTAAGAAAATTATTAGGTATGCCTAAAAAATTATCAACTTCTCAATTAAATCAATCAAATTCTGGTCAATCACAATCTATTAAAGAAATGGTAAGTAAATTTGTTGATGATTCTAAAGAAAAAAGTATAAAAGCTGCTAGAGATGCAAATAAAAGAATGGAAGTTACAAAACAAAGAAAAAATAGTTTTAATGATGGGTTTATAAAAAAACATTAAAATACTTGTAAATAATATATACACTTGTAAATTGTGAATAGATTGTAGCTTTAATTCTTCAAGCGATTTCATTTGAAACTATCTGTTTAATTCATACAATCTTCAAATAGGCAAAAAAATGTCTGTTAGTTTATAGTAAAACTTAAGAAAAGAATGTAAGCACATAAATAATTTACTAAAATTTGGGTGCAAAAATTGTAGATGCATAGATAAACCAGAAAAAGTAGAATTTAAGCATACTAGTTTTGAATACTATTAAACAATTGATAGTGAACAATATTCAAGTTTTATACAAAAAACTATAAAGATCAAAGTAATTCCTTTTGAACTACTATGACTCTTAGTGTAGTTTTCTCATCTTACTAATGAATTGCAGAGTATTGGTTAATAATTTTTTGAAATTGTTGAAATACGAACAAATTTAATAATTACGAATTATTATAATTGTACCTGATTAATAAATTATAAATTAGCCAAATTATTCATCAGATTACGAGATATCTAATATTGATTAATACTTCATTAAATTATATAAGAGATGTAGAATTAAAAAATAGATCTTGAGGCGTTGTAGTTGATTTTACCCTTGTTAGAACGTTTTAAGGGAAATACATTTACTCTACTAATAAATTTTATTTACAAATTTCTCTACTTTACTTTATTCAATGGACACTATTCAATTGTTCAATAAAATCAATCAATCAACCAATCTTATATTGTTTACTTTGTTTAAAATGTTGATGAAAATAGGAGAGAAATTGATCAAGTCTAATTTTTCTAATAAATTCATAATAGAGTTAATCTGATTATTGTTTGGTATATAATTTACCCCGCGATAATAATTTGATTTTCAGCACATGTGAATAAATTTATTTAGATATTATTTATATACAGGTATTTTATAATAGTTTGTGTACCTAATTCTTTCGGAGTTTAGTTTTGTGTTTTGTTCTACTAATTACTATTAAGGAAATAAGATATAATTAGAACAATCATAATAATATTACAATATTACCAGTATAGCTTTTTAATTTCCAATTTTATCATAATATATAAATATATATATATATATTAATATATATATATATATTAATATCATTGTTTCATGTTTATACTAAATTTATATTCAACAATCTTTCATCATATAGAACTAATAAACTACATATATCAATAATCATGAATTATATTCCTTATCTTATATTATTAATATCTTATATAATTTATAAATTAATTCAAAATTATCAACTTCAAAAATTTGCTAAAAAAAATGGATGCAAACAACCTATAAAATTACCAACTCCTACAATATTAAGTAAATTAGGATTAGAAATGATTATAAATTCCAAAAAAAATGAAAAAGAAGGGTTAGGAAATGAAAAAATTTATCAAGGTTTACAATCATTAAATACATCAACTTTTGAAACTATAATATTTTTTAAAAAATTTATAATGACAATTGAACCTGAAAATTTAAGATGTATGATGTCAAGTGCTAATTTTAATGATTGGAATATTGGATTTAGACCAAAAGCTTTTGGTATATTATTGGGAAATTCAATTTTTTCAAGTGAAGGTGGTCATTGGAAAGATTCAAGAACTTTATTAAGACCATTTTTTGCAAAAGATCATATAAAACATATTACAAATATGGAACCTTTTGTTGATAGAGTTATTAAATTAATCAAAAAAACTAATGGAAAAACAATAATTAATTTACAAGATATTTTTCAAGATTTTACAATGGATTATACAACTTATTTATTACTTGGTGAAAGTTCAGATAGTTTAAAAGAAAGATTAGGTGAACCAATTAAAGAAACTATAAGTGAAAAAACAAGATCTCAATTTACATGGGCATTTGATACATTAGCTCCAAAATTAATGATGAGAGCATTATTAGGTCATTTTATGTTTCTTTATAATCCAACTAATATGCAAAAATGTATAGATATTCAACATGAATTTGTTGATTATTATGTTCAAAAAGCTTTAAAAATGTCTAGTGAAGAATTAGATAAAAAATCAGAAGGTGGTACTTTATTTTTATATGAACTTGCTAAACATACTAAAGATCCTATTGTTTTAAGAGATAATATTTTGAGTATAATATTAGCTGGTAGAAATACAACTAGTGGATTAATGACTTTTTTATTTATGGAACTTTCAAGAAATCCAGATATTTTTAATAAATTAAAAGAAATAATAAGATCAACATTTCCTGATTTACAATCAATTACTTATGAAAGTACTCAAAATTGTGATTACTTAAGGTGGTGTATAAATGAAACATTAAGAGTTCATCCATCAGTTCCAAACGAATCTAAAACAGCTTCTAAAAACGTTATATTACCAAAAGGTGGAGGACCAGATAATCAATCACCAATTTTAATAAAAAAAGGTCAACAAGTATTATATCCATTATGGTCATCAAATAGAAACCCAAAATATTTTGGACCAGAACCTTTAATTTTTAAACCTGAAAGATGGGCACATTTACCTCGTAATGGAGGTATTGCTTTTTTTCCTTTCAGTATTGGTCCAAGAGCTTGTTTAGGTCAACAATTAGCTTTAATTGAAGCTAGTTATATAACTATTAGATTATTACAAACTTTTAATAATTTGGAATGGTGTGGGAATTCCAAAGATGAACCTTTAAGAAAATCAGTTAGTGCTACTATGAGATTATTAGATGGTTGTAATGTTATTATGAGTTAGAGATATTTGAGTGGTTTTAAAGTTTTTTGTTGGTTTTCAATTTTAATTTTTATAATTTATTTTTAATACATAACGACAAGGAAAAGGTGGATGTAGATTAAATAAAGTTGAAGTCTTTGGTTTTGTTGTAGATAATGATAATGAAGTAAAAATTATCGAAATCAAAGATGACGCAATTGAAGTTAGTACTTTTTTTGGTTTTACAAGAAATATTGAAAAGTTGTTGGGTATATATAAATATTTGACCCTATATATCAATCATCTTAAATTTTAACTGGAGAGAACTCTAATTTCCATTAATATTTTCAATTCTAGTCATATGTTAACTTATTCACAACCTTTGATTTTTAGATGCAATTTTTGATTTATGTTTTAAATATATACTTTCAAAAAGAAATGATAATGGTAGAATTTTAATTCTATTGTCAGCCTAAACTGTGAAATAGTGAATAGAAATTGTAGATTAAATTTAAGATTTGTAAATAGTCGATAGATTGTTCATTTAAAATTAGTTATCTTCTAGCAAGGTATTGATTATTTTATCATATTTAAGAAGTATCCATATGCAGTATTAGTATTTATTTATTTTTTGTTTCAGATTTATAAATAGATTTTTATTGAGTGAAACTTAAGAAATATAATACGTTTTATAATATTAAAATATCTTTCAATTATACAATCCATATAGATTTATATTTTAATCTTGATTATTATGTTCAACTTGTAATGAGAGTTGTATATTACATTACTCTAAGACTAACTTTTATATATAAAAAATCACAGCCTTACTAACTAATATTACAATAATAAAAAAAAAAAAATCTCCTTTTAAGTAAATTATCTTTTACGCGAGATTACTTAAATATTTTTTTTTTTTCATTAGGCACAAAAGATCAGACACATTTCAATAAATTCAATTTACAACCAGACAACAACTAAATTTTAATTTTCATTTTCTTCATTCTTACATTCATTTTTTCAATACTTATCTTTATCTACGGTTCAATTAACAAATGGTTTACTAAATATCATTATCACCATCATAAAACCTTCATCCAAATCAAATATGGCAGATCAAAAATTAAAAGATCATTTAGATGCTGAAAAGGCGATTAAAAAATATGATTTAAATTTATCAACTTTTAATATGATTAAAATTCAAGATTTTCAAAATTATAATTGTTCTACTATTTTCTGGTATTTTTATATGTGGATATTAGTATTTTTATCTATTATATTGTTGGCAATTGATATTTATTCATGTTTAAATATTTTGGTTTTCCATAGATGGGCAACTAATGATTATAAACCTTATGCTTATTCTATTGCAAAATGGATTTTCACTGGATGTATTATTTTTCAATTTGTATTATTAGCTTATAGTTGGATTTGGGCAATACATATTTATAGAACTAAAAATATTGCATTAGTTTATCTTAACTCCATATGTAAAAGGGTATATTCAATTAATAATTATAATTATTTTTGTTTATTTAATAGTATTGATGAAGGGAAATTTTTTGATGCTTGTTGTTTTATAACTTATTATGAAATTCAAAATGCTTTACAGATTTTAATAGCTGATACTCCAAGACAAGTTATCAACGTATTAACTTTAAGATATTATGCTACGGGTGGAGAATTAAATAATGATATTTTAAGAAATATTCAAGAAATTGCTAAAACAAATTTAAGATTATCTATAATCTTGAGCTTTATGTGTCTTTCAGTTTTTATTTATGCTATTTTTTTCTTTAAATTTTTATTTGGAATGATTATGTATATTCCTTTAAAATGTGTTTTGGTTGATGGAAAATATACAACATTCAAGAGTTATTGTTCATTTTTGATAAATGAATCAGTATCTCAAGCAGTTAATAAACATCATAAACCAAAAAGAGAATTAATTGAAGAAGGTATATTAAGTGAAGAAAGAGCAAATAAATTAATATCATTAGATAAACATCCTTCAGATTATAAAGATTATACAAGAGTTTATTATTCAAGAACTGAATCTTCAGAAAGTTTCCCACTTAATGATTTAACTAGTTCTAAAACTAATTTATTAAATCAAACCTACAACGAATCAAGACCTTTTCTACATACAGATCCTTCTTTAGATCATTTACAAAATTCACAACAACAAGAACTGACTTACTCAACGTTAGGTAATAATAATGGACAAATACCGTTTAATAGAAGATTAAGTCAATTACAAAATAGAAATCAATCAAGAAATCAATTTAATAATTATAGAAATCCTTCACAACCATTTCAAAATCAAGAATTATATCAAAACAATAACAACTCCAACCAGTTATTAGACAATGACTACAACCAATATACCGAGTATAATCCACAACCATTTAAAAAATCAATTAATTTACCAAAACAAAGAAATAACTCAAATAACAACTACTCAAATACAAGACTACCAAGTAAACCATCAAGATCATACACTCCAATAAAAGGACTAGAATCAATTAAAAATCAAGAGCATGACAATTTTGAATCACCAGAAATAACACTAAATAATGATATACAAAATTACCCAAATAAACCATTAGTCAAATCATCAACTGAACAATTCCACCAACATCAACAAAATCCAAAAATTTTACAACGATCATTTACTGATGAATTACCACAAAATTTAACACGAAAGAAACCAAATCCATTTGAAGAAGAAGAAACCACCGATAATTTTAATTTTCGAGAACCACCAAATTTTCAATCAAATACAATTTCAAATTCACCACCAATAAGTAAATTCGAAGATGAAATATTAGACGCTTATGATACTGATAATAGTATAGATAATAATGATTTTTTGGTTCCTAGAGATGAAAATATACCCTATCCTGTAAGAGGAGTTTCTAAGTATTTTGATTTGGAGAAACAACGATAGATCAATTAATAAAATATACTAATGGTTATACTTAATATATATTATGCATTTTTTCATTATACTATTTCTATAGCATTATAACTATTTACAAATTAATTAACATCAATAAATCAATTCCTGATTTCCACTATACCTTCTCAATTCGATTCTTGAAAACACCTCCAATTTCTTCATCAACTTTCCCAAAATACAATTCATTAAATTTATTCTTTCTTCTCATTAAATTCTTTCTGTAATTTACTCAATTCTTCATCACTAATAGGTGGGATAGGAATATCAGAAAAATCATCTTCAGTCATTTTATAAAACGTATACCAATAAACAAGCAATGGTAATCCACCAATAACAAACAAACCAGCAGTATTTCTCCAAAAGAAAGGTTGTCTAACTCTATATAATGCTGGTGTTATTTGATGAGTTATTGGATCTCTATATCTATCATGTCCTTTTCTTAACTGAGGTTAGTATATTTATGATAAATGTGAAAGTTTTGTGGGTGAGGGAAGGTACGTACGGAGCTCCTACTATTTTTCCCATTAGTCTTAATGAATTACGCATTTTTTTGTATTATGTTTTTGAGTTGGTTAGATGTTTTGAAAGTTGTAATATGATTAATGTGGTCTTACCTAGATCAGGTTATCACGTTAATTTTGTCTCACTTTATTTTTCATTTTTCAAGTAAATAGTGAGTACGCAAGTGGCTACCAAATATGCGCTTTTTATAAGCCACCTTGAAAAAGCATATGTCAGGCAGTATTGCAAGAGTAGAATTTTACCGTAGCTGATTAACAATTCAGGATAAGTTAGTAGCTGTTAAATTATTTGCAATTCATTTAGGTTGAAGTGGTGAAATTCGTATTGAAATAATTTCAATATTTTTGTATCAATTTTTTCAATAAATTTGTAGCAAATTGAAGATACTTTTAAAGGAAAATAATATACAACAAGAGAATAATTTCAACTACATTAAAAAAAAAGAACTTACGTAATCATCAATTCATTAAAATGCTATCAGTACTTTTAAAATTCTATCTATGAAATAATTTGACTCAATTTATTTTCTAAATCCCCCAAATCAAAAAAATCCCCACCATCAGCTCTATCAACTTCAACTAATCGTATACCTTTCTCATATAATGCATCATGATTAATTTCAATTTTTGGATTTTTCATATAAAATAAGTGAGTAATAACTTGATTCCAAGGTATGTGTATGTTGTTTCCCCCATTTTGATTCTTTAATGAATATTCAGTAGATTCAATTATAACTTTAATAAAATCATAAGCTGTCATTCCAAAAGTTTCACGATCTAAACATCCATTTAATAAAAGAATTTTGTTTTTACATTTACTTGTTGTTATTGCTTTACCTATTCCCTTTAATACTAAAATAGGTACTATACTTGTCATTAATGAACCTATTGAATATATTAAAGTGTCTGTGTTTGATATAGTTGATATTACTCTTGAATTTGCAGTAGGACATATTTCTTCTCCATATGGTGATATATAAAAGATTCTTTTTATTGGTGATAATAAAGGTTCTATATCATTTGATTTATTGAAATGTAATTGTGATTTTTTCAATTCTGGATGAATATATTGTGGGATATTACCTGATTCTTCACCATCTGAATCATCAGATACACTTAAATTATTTATTAGTTCCAAACTTTTTTTATTACGTAGTTTTTTATTCATTTCAACTTCATTTATTACAACGTTTTGAATATCAGAATCCATAAAATAATTGGTCCTTGATAAATCATCATTAGGAGTGGGTGGTCTAGTTTTATTTATAGGTGGTGGATGATTTTCTACTTGAGGTTCAGAAGGATGTGAAATTTGTGATTGACCAGTTATAATTAATCCATTTTGTAATAATGCACTAATATGATAAGTAAAATTTGTATTAATACATGGTAAAACTTGAATATTTGAATTTATATCAGTTAATTTACAAAATAATTCTATTGCTGAATCTAATGATCCAATAAATAATCTTGCACCAGTAAGAAATAAATTCCCCACGTTAGCTAATTCATATCTAAATTGCCTCTTAGTTGATAAATTAATTCTTGACCTCTTGAGTAATTCAACATGTAAATGTACAAAAAAACTTCTAAAAATTTCTTTAGTACTTGAATTAAAACTATTCCATAATTCAGAATTACCTTCAACTATTGAATTCCATTGTTGTTTAGCTAATGAGGGATCCAGTGATAATCTAAAACTTAATAATTCTCGAATATATTCTTGATGATTTGGAATTAATCTGGTTAATCTTGATCTTATATCTCCTATAGCTGGTCCTCCAATAACTCTTATTATTTCTGCTGTTGATCCTCCATTATCTGATATTGGTATTACATATGATGTATTATTACAATTTGATAAATTTGTGAAAATAGGTGTTAATTCATTTGTAGCTGTACCACCTGAAAATATAGTTATTTTTGGCATTATTATTTTTTGATTATTAGTAGGGTGATATTATCGTTCAATTGACCTCATTTATTATGAAATTATTTTGATTAAACGAGTATAGCTAAAGCTTATATATGAACTCGAATGATTAGTAATTAAATGATTGAATATGACGTGTTTTCTATTAATTTAATGTGTTTTGTTATTACTTTATTTGTAAATACATATTATTAAATTATAGCCTCTTAGTTTAAACTCCGTAATAATAAAAGTGGAGGTAAAAATTTGGTAGCCTTATTGTATGAAATCTTCTGCTTAGCTTAGTAGAATCAAAATCAACTAATTTTACTGACAACACCTTTAGTTTAAATGCAATGTAGTCAATGTAGAAATTACCCTTCTAGCTTCCCTTTTCAATCAAAAGCATTTCAGTGTGTATTTTTAGAAGTGCAAACAATTCAATCTGAATTGAAATAATTTTTGCAACCAAATTTAATTTAATTCTAAATTTGACGCAGAACAAATAGTTAATTTATAATTTTATATTTATTTATAAATACCCTTAGCTCCATAACAATTATTCAACAAGACTCGAATAAAATTACGAAAACATCGATAAAATAATTCACACTAACTCAGTAGTGTATACTTTTAGGTGAATTTAGATTTGTTAACAAATCTTCATTAACTTCATAAGAAATCAAAGGTGGACTGAAATTTACTCTTGTAATTGTAAAAAAATTAAACTAGAAATAAAAATTGTATCATACACTACTTTGTTATATCTGGTTTACATAGTTGAAAATTGCCGGTGCTACCAAATTTTAATTAATTTTTTTTACTGCAAAAAATTTTAAGGATGAAACAAATTTTTCACTTCTAAGTAATTTTTCACATTTTTATAAAAAATCATCAATTCAATTGAATAACTATAATCACTAAACAATGTCAGATCAAGAAGTTTTAGTTTTAAGAGGAACCTTAGAAGGTCACAATGGTTGGGTCACTTCATTAGCCACTACTCCAGTTCATCCAGATTTATTATTATCAGGATCAAGAGATAAAACTTTAATTAAATGGAAATTAACTGGTGGTGAAGATAATCAATATGGTATTCCAAAAAAATCATTCACTGGTCATTCCCACATTGTTCAAGATGTTACCATTTCAGCTGATGGTGCTTATGCATTATCTGCTTCATGGGATAAAACTTTAAGATTATGGGATTTAGAAAGTGGTGAAACTACAAGATTTGTTGGTCATAAAGGAGATGTTTTATCAGTATCAATTGCTAAGAATTCAAGACAAATTGTTTCTGCTTCAAGAGATAAAACCGTTAAAGTTTGGAACACTATTGGTGAATGTATGGCTACTTTAACTGGTCATAATGATTGGGTTTCTGCTGTTAGAATTTCACCATCAGGTAACAATTCTTCAGTTATTTCTGCTTCATGGGATAAAACTGTTAAAGTATGTGAACTTTTAAACCTTTTTTCAAAGAAAAAATTTTTATATGATGATTGATTTTATTTGCTACTTCAGACGTTGCATAAGCTTCGAATGAGACATATCTTTTATCACCAAGATCTCTGATTGAAATTTTTTAATTAATTTTGGAAGAAATTATAATACTAACTTATTCTTTTTCTTTTTAGTCATGGGATTTAACTGATTACTCAACCAATGCTGATTTCATTGGTCACACCGGATACATTTCATGTATTACTTTATCACCAGATGGATCATTATGTGCTTCAGCAGGTAAAGATGGTGTCATCATCTTATGGGATTTAAACTCAAACAAAACCTTATATACTTTAGATGCTAAAGCTGAAGTTTCATCATTAGCTTTCTCACCAAATAGATATTGGTTAGCTGCTGCAACTACTTCAGGAATTAAAATTTTCAAATTACAAGAAAGATCATTATTAGATGAATTAAAACCTGAATTTGCTATTGGTTCAAATGCTAAAGATCCTGAAGCTATTTCATTAGCTTGGTCTGCTGATGGTCAAAACTTATTTGCTGGTTATACTGATAATGTTATTAGAGTCTGGCAAGTTATGACTCCATCATCATAAATTTGAGAGGAGGAATATTGCTTGTATAATATAGGATAATTTGTATAATAAAAAGTAAAATAAGAGAATATAAACGAATTACAGTTCAAATATTAAACATTCAAGTTAATTAAATGTCTAAGAGATAAATTTGTTACTTTTATTCATGTATCAAATCTAATACCTCTGCTATAATATATGTATGATGAGATATGGAGGTATTGAAAGAATGTGGGGATGAAAATCAAGATTTATATTAAATCTATAAAAATAATATAGACTATAATTTAGTAAACTAATGCATTATAGTTTTGTTTTTTTCACAACCACAAATTTTTCAAAACAATTTTTGAATGTCAATAAAACAAACAATTCAATTACCTAATTAACATCATCATTGCCACTCCTTAGTTGTGGAAACAATCATCAACCGCTACTTCATTATGCTCAAATTTCATTTATTTTTCTAATCAATTTCAAAAAAGAAAGTAGCCACCTCATCAAAATCATTCTTTTACTAGATCTAAAAAAAAGCGCCATCAACTAGTTCACAATTAGAATACATGTCAACAACTACCTCATGAATTGAGAACACCTCTTCAGTCACGAATATGAGTATATTGGTATTACATAGATCAAAAAAGAAATCAAAATTGTCATCTTCAACGTCAATTGCAACATCAATCATATTCAATTCATAAATTTATGTGCCGCAAATGAGCGTACATCAGAGGTAGTCCATAAGCAGTTGTACCACATTTGTCTTTACAACAGAAAAATAGAGCCGCCATTGGGGATTTTGACAAAATGTGATTTTAAATGACTGATATTATTATGAATAAATTACAAGAGTATAGATTTTGATCAATCAACTACAACAAGTTCAATGGAGTATCAAGTGAGAATCAAGTGAAGTTTTTGGCTGGAAAAAATTTAAAGCAAATTATTAAGTAAGTAAGCGTCAGTTTGGTCTCATACTATAATCCCATCAACCCCGTTCAAATTAATAATTTCAGTCCCCAGAATAAATGATCAGGAAAATGAACCTATTTCGTACAGTATACACTTTCGTGAACATTGCCAGGCTCTCATATTTTCTGGTTGTCAAAAGTTCAAGATGGTGTAAGATATCTTGCATTAACCGTATCACAAGCTTCAATCTGTGAATTTTACATCAAACTTTCCTACTTTACTTTCAGGTCAATTGAGGCAAGCTTTCATAGTATAAATTGAAGATCAGTAGCTGCTACTAGAGTTTAGCTAATGAATTCTTCAATTGATGTGGTCAATTTTTTTATTCCTATCTTAGGATTGCTCCAAACTTGAAAATCTGTTTACATGTTTCATAATAATTTGGATCTTTCTGAAGCACTCTTACAATCTAAGTTGAAAATCAATCTAAGTCAATACGGGTAGAATTAGATGTATTCTGGCAGCTCATTTAAATTCAACATTTTTAGACTAAAACTTTCAAATATACCCATTAAATGTAAACACAAATGCTACCAAATTTTGGTAACATATATAGAGGAGTTCATTTCAAGATCTTTCCAGATCTACAAGTGAAGAACGACTTAATTAATATTCAATTAGCATTCCAAAATAATCCAATTTGCTAAAGTACAAATTAATCAAAACCTTTCGCATTTTTCCCAAATTTGATATCACTTTTTTTTTTCATATAATCAACCAAAACTTATTCAAATTTTAAATTTAACACAAACTACATTACAAATTTAAAACATTATACATATTATAAACGTTAAATACAATACAAATTACAATTTATCAAAATTAAACATATTATTAATTAAATTTAATACATTTTACAGCCATTAAATTTAATACAAAATACAAATCATCAGTATTAATAATATCATAAATATCAAATATATACAACAAAAAATATTTTATAGTCCAATACAAATTCGATTCCTCAGATATTATTCATATTATAAAGTTCAAACTTACACAACACAGAACTTTTAAATTTAATACAAACCACCACAAATATTAAACTATAGTTGTATTAAATTTTACAAGTACTTATACCAAACAACTACAAAGACCAAGGTAAAAGAACTACTTTTTTTAGATTTCATTAATTACAAGTTTTAAATTTATTTAAAATAATTTTAAAACAACTAAAAAATTCTTTACCAATTATTACAATGTCTATCATTCAATTAACTAAAACTAACAAAATTAGAAATTTTTTTACCAAACCATTTAGAAGTTACTCAGCCAAAAAAGCAAATTCAAAAATTCACCAATTAATTTCAGATATGGATTTAGAAAGCATTCAACAATTACAACAAGATATAACCAGAATCACAGTTTTACATAATAATCAATTATTAGATTCAGGCAATAAACAACAAGTTACAATTGTTAGACCAAAATTTAGAAATTCTGGTATCTACGCAAGACCACTTGATTTAGGTCAACAACTACAATTACAGCAGTTCCCATTAACAGATGAATATGGAGTAGTTACAAATGTATTAAAAAATGGTAGTCCAAATAATGAATTTGAAGTCATTATTTATAATGACGAACATGCTTCAGGTTATAAAATTGATCAAAATGAAGATGGAGAAGGTATTAGAGATGCAAAATCAAATGAAAATAACCAAGAAATGATTAATCCTGAAAAAGGTGAAGAAGTCATGTTATTAGTAATTAATGAAGAAGCAGAAAAAGTTCAAAAAACACTTGATGACTATTACAAAATCCTGAAATCATTTAGTGAAGACAACTGTCCTTTTATCTATGAAAAAGGTGAGAATTTTGAAACTAAATGTAGGGGTCCAGCTTTAAATGATGGTGAAAGATTTGTAACTGATGAAGACCCAGTAATCAATGGTGCAGCTCAAGATTTAGCAACTGAAGATAATATCAATGATAATAAAGAATTAATTAAAGGTGCAGCTCAAGATTTATTTAGTGAAGATAATATTATTAATAGCAACTCATTGAATAATGATGCAACTCAAGATTTACATATTGAAAATAATATTATTAATGATGATTCATCAGATGATGATGCAGCTCAAGATCTTCAAACTGAACTAGATGCTAATAATGATAATCCATTAAATAATGATGCAGCTCAAGAGTTACAAATTGAACTTAGTACTATTAGTAATTCTTTATCAAATAATGATGAAGCTCAAATTGTACAATCTGAAAATAATATTATTAATAATAATTCATTGGATAATGATGCAGCTCAAGATTTACAAGTTGAAAATAGTATTAGTAATGATAATGCTGGTGAAGTTGAAGATGAAGAAGTACTAAATTATTATGAGATGAGTATTCATAATTCAGATATAATAGATTATTCAGATTTTAAAGATAAAGAAGCTGTTAATCGAGTACAAATTGAAGATAATGACAATCGTGATGGAATCGCAAATGGCATTTTAGCAGATGAAGCTGATACATATGGGAAAAATTTCAATAATGCCAATGAATATATATTAGATGATATTAGATTTAGGTCAGATTTGAAAGATACAACAGATGCTGCACCAATTGGAGAAGAAACTTCTTATAAATATAGAGACGATGATCAACATAGTATTAGGGAGTACAGTACAGTCATTGTGAAAAAGATTAAAAAGAGGTTCAATCCAAGTGATTTAGCAGGATTATTTGATGATGACAACAATACAGGAACTACAAATGTAGAAGATAATGAGGGTGCTCAGGATTTACAAATTGTAAATAATATTAATAATAATAATTCATTAAATAATGATGCTCAAGATTTACAAGTTGAAAACAGTATTGATGATTATCATTCATTGGATAATGATGCAGCTCAAGATTTACAATCTGAAGTCAATACTGATAGTAATAATTCATTAAATAATGATGCAACTCATATTGTACAATCTGAAAATTATATTAATTATGATTATTTGCTGGATAATGATGCATCTCAAGATTCACAAATTGAAGTCAATACTAATAGTAACAATTCTTTAAATAATGATGCAGCTCAAGAGTTACAAATTGAACTTAGTACTATTAGTAATTCTTTATCAAATAATGATGAAGCTCAAATTGTACAATCTGAAAATAATATTATTAATAATAATTCATTGGATATTGATGCAGCTCAAGATTTACAAGTTGAAAATAGTATTAGTAATGATAATGCTGGTGAAGTTGAAGATGAAGAAGTACTAAATTATTATGAGATGAGTATTCATAATTCAGATATAATAGATTATTCAGATTTTAAAGATAAAGAAGCTGTTAAACAAGTACAAATTGAAGATAATGACAATCGTGATAGAATCGCAAATGGCATTTTAGCAGATGAAGCTAATACATACTGGAAAAATTTCAATAATGCCAATGAATATATATTAGATGATATTAGATTTAGATCAGATTCGAATGACGCAACAGATGCTGCACCAGTTGGAGAAGAAACTTTTTATAAAAATCGAGACGATGATCAACATAGTGTTAGGGACTACAGTACAGTCATTGTGAAAAAATCTAAAAAGAGGTTCAATCCAAGTGATTTAGTAGGATTATTTGATGATGACAACAATACAAGAGCTACGAATACGGAAGATAATGAAAGTGCTGTATATAATGAAAGTGTTGTATATCATGAAAGTGCACTTGATCTTGAAAGTATTCCAATAACAAGTTACGATGAAAAGTTGATTGAAGATACTAATGAACAACTTATGCTTTTCAAATTTTTGAGAATCTAACGACAATAGTGGATATATTGTGGGATGTTTATCAGAATTTGATACTGGTTATATACACTAGATTTTTTAAAGCTTTATACAATTAGATAATCAACTTCAAATTATTACTTAGTCTTTTCAAGAATCAATACAATTAATAGTAAAATTAATAACATCAGTTCAATCCATTTTTCATAAATTCAGATAAATTCAAAAATTATGCAAAAAATTATTCACCCTATCATTTAATTATCGTCAGTAATTATACCTTTAAGAAAATACTTAATTATCAAAAATCAACATTTTCAAGATTTCAAAATTAACATTTTCAACATTTAAAAACTAGTATTTTCTGCATTTAAAAATCAACATATTCAACATCTAAAAATTAACATTTTCAACATCTAAAAATTAACATTTTCAACGTTTAAAAATCAACATTTTCAACATCTAAAAATTAACATTTTCAACATTTAAAAATCAACATTTTCAACAATTAAAAATTAACATTTTCAAAAGTTAAAAATCATCAAGGTTTAATTTTTTACCATCATCAACATTAGCAATTTTTCAATTATAGATCAAAAAAGATATCAACGAATTTTTCATTACAACAACCTTAGACTGGCCACCTATAGTTTCAATAATGGATAAACACCTTTCAGCTACATTTTTAATTCACAACATTTTTTTAAAATTTTTAGCGTTTACATTTATAAGTTAATAAAATCAACTAACTTGATTGATTTCAATTTTGTAGTTTTCTCTAACTTTCTATTTATTAATAATATTGTCAGAATTGAAAGTTTCTTGGGTTATCATACATTATATACAAATAATAGATTTTAGTAGTCTTGCACCGCTCGTAGGGTTCTGGATTTAGTTCAACCATATAACAGAAAAGTAGTAAATTTATCATATTAAGGATACCTTTTAATTGTCCTAAATGGCTTGATCAATTAGCTTACATAAAATCTAAATGCAATCAATACTTTATTTCAACTTATTCAATTTGCTTATATAAAAATTAAATACAAAGTAATGAAAAAAAAAAAAAAGAAAAGAGTACAATTCAAAAACAAATTAAAAATTTCATCAAGTTAAGTGGTGATATATAAATTAATCTCACTTAATACTTACAATTACTAATAGTTTCATATATGTAGATAATATTACAACAAGTTTCAAAATTTGTGTAATATAGTCTTTTTATCACGTGAATGCGGCTGGTAGCTGATTGTAATCAATCAATATGACGCGTATTTAATTTAATTACATCATCAAATTGATCTTATTAATTTTACAATATAAGCAATATTATTCATCGATAATAGATTCCTAAGGTTTATAGTTGAAAAGGATAACTTAACTGCAAATATGGCTTTAACAGAGTTTGAGAAAAAAAGACAGGAGAATATTCAAAGAAACAAAGAGCTTTTACAAAAATTAAATCTTGATTCAATAACTAATAACATATCCAAAGAAATTGAAAGATCGTCACCATCACCACAACCAACTACAAAGAAAAGAAAAATAATTACCAGAAATCATGAACCAAAGTCAAAAAAAGAAGCTGTTGAACCAACTAGAAGATCAAGTAGATTAAGAGGTATAAAAACTGAATTAGAAAATCCTGAAGAATATAGGAAAATAAAAGAAGAAGAACTAGAAGCAGAACGTGAAAAGAAGAAAATTGAAAGTTTGAGAAGAACTAAATTATATGGAGATTTTAATTTAATTGATTTAGTCACTGATAAGAAAAAAGGAGGAAGATTATTTGAAGAAAAAATTAGACCAACTATGAAACAAAAAGCAAATGGTGCAAAAATTGAACAAGATGAAACATTGCTCGAAGAAGAAAATGAAGTACTAGCACTTTTACAGTCCATTGGTGATAAATTCTCAGCTGGTGATTTTTATGAACAAATATCCAAAAATGAGAATCTTAATTCTGATAAACTTGTTGATTCTAAAAGAAAAGAGTTTGATTCCAAAAGAATATTTTCAAAATTTGATCCATTAGATGTAAAATTAACTCATCATAGAATCACCTCAATAGCATTTCATCCGTCAACAACTGAAAGAATAGTAGCTGCGGGAGACACCGATGGTAATCTAGGTATATGGATACCGGATTCTGAAACTGATGAAAAACCAACTATATCAATATCAAAACCTCATGGGAAAAATGTATCCAAAATATTAACTCCATCAAATCAATTGCAAAAAATTTATAGTTCATCATATGATGGAAGTGTAAGGTCACTAGATTTAAAAACATTGAAAAGTCAAGATGTTATTTCATTAAATGAATTTCATGATTCTGGAATTACTGATATTAATTTTGTAAGAGAAGATCCAAATCTATTATATATGACAAATTTAAGTGGATTATTTTATAATTATGATTTAAGAACAAAACCAAATGCAAAAAATTTATTGAGGCTACATGATAAAAAAGTTGGAGGTTTTGCAATAAATCCAAATAATAACTATCAAATTGCAACCTCATCATTAGATAGAACTTTAAGATTATGGGATTTACGTAAGATTTCAAAACTGGAATATTCAGAATATGATGATCATAAATCTCCTCATATGTATGGAAATTATACTTCAAAATTATCAATATCTTGTGTTGATTGGAATATAAACAATCATATAGTGTGTAATGGGTATGCTGATTATATTCATTTATTTAATTACAACGAACCACCAAAAATTACAGAATGGGATAAATCATATATGCCAGATTACAAGAGACCTAGAGTGAAAGAAGAAGACACAATAATATTACCAGATAATTTAAAACCTTTCAATAGTATAAGACATAATTGTCAAACTGGTAGATGGGTATCAATTTTGAAATCAAGATGGCAAGAGAATCCAGCTGATGGTATGCATAAATTTATTATAGCAAATATGAATCGTGGTTTAGATATTTATGATGAGAAAGGTAATATATTAGCTCATTTAAATGATCAAGTTGGTGCTATTCCCGCGGTATGTACATTACATCCTACACAGAATTGGGTAGTTGGAGGAAGTGCAAGTGGTAAAATATACTTAATAGAATAAATAGTTTACATAGTATAAATAGTTTTCATTATTTTTTTAATATAAATAGTTTTCATTATTTTTTTAATGAGATGCATACTCCTAAAAGAAAACGCTGAAGCATAATCAAACGTATTTGATATGCTTGTAAACATTTCCTTTCTAAAGTTGCACCTTCATTAAAATGATACATCAAAGGTAAACTTTTACTAAGTGTTCCATCTTACACAGAATTGGGTAGTTGGAGTGTTGCACATATATAAAAATAATCTGGGTCATATCAATGTTAATACATTATTAAAAATTTGTTTATGTAAAATTTATTTAATAGAATAAAATTTATATAGTATGAATAGTTTTATCATAATATTGAAGTAATAAATCCCAAATACCTGGATTTCAACGTTTAAAAATGACACGACCGGAAGTAACAACAATTATATCAAATAGTATTTTGATCTATAATATGAAAAGAAAAAAGTGATTTTCACTTTCAAGTTTATAGTCATTGAAAAAGAAACAGAATTCCGGTTTTTGAGTCAGGTGCCAAACAATTTTTGAGTGCAGAAAAGAGCATTGACTTTGCAAAAGCCACGTTTTTGTACCGGAAACGCGTCTGAAACTACCACCAAAGGTTAAGGTTAGTTATTGTTATAAGTATAGGGATCAACTCTATGTATCAGTTGTTCAAGTTTCCAGTAAAATTTACTTTTTTGAATAGCTAAATCTTGTCTTGTATTTACCACTTAACAAGTTTGATAACTTGAAAAAGATCTTAATTGTTCTTAAATAGGGTTTACTTTAATGTACATTTTAGTTTAAAAGGTACAACCAAGAACACATTATTTATAATCATTTGGTGTGGAATTTGGGGTTCATTTGCAAAGGATTACTGATGAAAGCTCCTCAATCTTCAATAAGAAGTGGCTCACAACAGCAGGTGCTTGAATTGTAGGTTTCAAAAAAGGTAAAAATTTTATTTGATCTGAAATTTTAGAGACGATTTGTTTTGCAATTTGAATACAAAAGCATGAATTTCATATTGCATGAGAGAATAATGCAGGATCTTAGGTAAATTTCATATTGAATTATAATAAATTAATTTATTTGATTATTCAATCAATTTGAAATTTTATAATATTGCTAAATCAAATAGATATATAATACCAGTCTAACATGTGCTTTTATTATTTGAACTTCGATTCCTGAAATTTTTTAAACATGTAATATTATTTGAAATATAATAATTTTTTTACCTTTATTTTTTGATTTATTTGACACTAGAGATCACCTAATTAATTGATCAAAGACGTTAACGATTTACTTACAACCAAATGGGTTTTTATACAAAAATAGATTACTAATAAATTCAGATCATTAATTGGTCTTGCGTTGCAAAAGATAACGAAGATTTTTAGGTAGTAAAAAATGCGTACTAGAGTATTACATAATCAAACTTATTATTCTTATTGTACTCAAACTTGAAACATATTATAGTTATTGTTGAGATCGGACTCAATTTTTTACTTACCTTGTTTATTATAAGTTATAAATCACTTCTTAAATATAACTATGTGTTGTACTATGATTATGTCACCATTTTTCAAACAAAAAATGAAAGTATACTTATGTAGAATGAAAAGAATTGTCGAATATATAAATATTTTACAAATCAATAACTATAGTAAATTTTTATGCTTTTCCAGTGAATTACTGTATCACGGACCAACTCATTAAAGAAATTGGTTTGACTATAGAGAAAGTACAATAAATTTTATAGAAAGATATTGATTCAAAAAAAATTATACAATAATAAAAACTATTTAAAATATCATAAGTAAATAATACCATCCATTTCCCTAGCTGGCCAGACTTGAAAAATATATATATACCACTTAACTTGATGTTATTTTTAATTTATTCTTGAATTGTATTTTTTTTTGTTTTTTTTTTTAACTCATCTTTAAACTTCTCTTCGTTACTATTTTCTTTCGATTTTCTTTTCTTGATCAATAATGTCCTCTTAATTTCTTAAAAAAAGATGCATGTTTTGAATGTTTAGATGATAAAAACTCTCTTAATTCCTTCGGTGCGCTATCTGCATCTACATCATTGGAGTTTGTAGCTTTTTCTGATGATGATTCAATTCCCGATTTTATTGGTGGTTGTTTTGCATCTTTAACCCCTCTAGATTTATTTGCACTATCTTTGACAGCACATTTAGCTTTATTTTTCCAAATTGTACTGATATTTGACGAATAATATTCTTGTAATTCAGCAGGTATTTTGCTATCTTCATTAACATCTTCATTAATTGAGCTTGAGTTATTTTCAGATGATGATCTAATACCCGAATTAATTGGTTGTGGTATTGCATCTTTAACCCCTCTAGATTTATTTGCACTATTCTTGACAGCACGTTTAATTTTACTTATGAAAGTTGTATTGATATTTGACAAATAATACTCTTGTAATTCAGCAGGTATTTTGCTATCTTCATTAACATTTCCATTAGTTGAGCTTGAATTATTTTCAGATGATGATTTAATACCCGAATTAATTGGTGGTTGTTTTGCATCTTTACCCCCTTTAGATTTATTTGCACTATTCTTGACAGCACATTTAGCTTTATTTTTTAAAGTTGTCTTGATATTTGCCAAATAATATTCTTGTAATTCAGCAGGTATTTTGCTATCTTCATTAACATCTTCCTTAATTGAGCTTGAGTTATCTTCAGTGATACTAGTATTGTTTGCAATTTTAGGTTCTAATGGTATTTTATTTTCATCAATTGCTGAATCATCAAAAGTCTTAAAAAATTCGTCTTCTAAAGAAAATAAGTTTTCTAAATTTTGTAAAATTTCGGAATTGAATCTTCTCTCAGTGGTACAATTGCTTGAGTCATCAGGTGTTTGTAAACTTGATTGAACATCAGATAAACTAATAGTATTTTCATGAACTTGTGTAACTTCAGGACTTTGAGCTTCTGGTTGTGGTATTGGAACACCTGCGATTGTATAATAATGTTGTCTTACTTGTTCCAATTGTTTTTCAAATAACTCTTCTTCATACTTCTTTTTGTTTGCTTGTATTTTAATGATTTTTTTTCTATATTCTTCAAGTAAGTCTTCAACTGGTACTAAGTCAGATTGTAAACATTTGGCGTATTCAATGTCAAAGTTTTGATTATTTTTTACTTTTAAACAAGATTTTGGAGGTGGAGTGGTAGTTTTTCTTGACTTTTTTGAAAATAATTGTGAAAATGATTTTTTACCTCTTGTTCTTTGTTGTTTTTTAGAACTTGAACTTTCTAATAATTCTTTGTTTGGTGTATAAGTCCCTTTATTTGAAATCTTCGAAATATTTAAAAATTTCTTTGTACTATCTCTGATTTTGTGTAAAATATATGGGGTATTTGAATTTTTAGAAGAAGCATATTCCCCATCTGCTGAAGTAGAAATTTGATTGAAATTGATGGATAAATCAGTTTGAGTTTGTGGAATTTCTTGATGGTTAGTTGAGGTAGTAACTTCGGATTGAGTTTTGGAGATAGTTGATTGATTTGACATTTTAATAATTATAGTTTCAATAGTTTGATTTATATGATTTTAGTTTTAAAATTTAACTAAAATGTAGTTTTTTGAATGTTATTAGAGTGTTTGATGATAATTTGACTTTGATTGTTTGATAATAATCTGATTTTTGATACTTTGATAGTATTCTGATTATTCGACTGTTTTTTAAATTGCTTGTAAAATTGCAATTTTATATATGTAATTTTGATTTATAAACTATAAATTGTTTGCAATTTATAATGTGGTTATCAGGTTATTATATGATTTCTTATTAATAATTTGATAATAAATTGATTATTTAATTGTAATTTGTTTAAATTGATTGTTTTGTAAAATTGGATGTAAATAAAAAAGTGGGAATTTTGATATGTTTTGCAACCAAAAAAAAAAAACCCAAAATATATGTGAGAAATTTATTAGAGTAAATTCTACTATGCAATACAAAAATATTGCGGTACGGATGTTATACCTTCTTCGAATATTTATAAAAAACCGTAAGACTTATCATATAACAATGGTCAGTATGATGAATATATAATGAATTAAGAAGTTCTATAAGAATAATTTACCATAGATGTATATATTTGAGTTGAACTTTAATTTTGTCTCGAGGAACGTAACACATAGGGGTATGTCAAAAATGTTAAGTGGTTTTCAACAACTATGCTAACAATATTTAGGTTGGGTTGAGGATTTCTCTTGTGAGTAATGGGTTACTAGAGGGATTTAATAGAGGGATAAACTAAAGGAATTCACTAAGGGATTGTTTTCTTTCCAACGAGTACGTTTACATATTAACAAAATCAAAATATTCATTATATTTGATAATTATAGATATATGTTTGAAAGCTTGATGAATGATCTAGTTTATGGTACCAATACTACGGTATAATAAAAGATTTTGATTTTGGACATGAGTTATGTCATCTAAATGAGCAGTAAAGATGAAACAGGTGACACTTTAAGGATCACCATTTTGTAATGAAGTGGTAAAATAGAATACAAAAATATGTAATAAATTAAACTTACAAATAATTTAAATACTATACATTCTTTGCTTTACATTGATTGAAGTAAAAGTCAAACCAAAAAAAATTATCAACTGTCAAATCTTCTATAACAACTGTAATTTGCTCTTTTTTTTAATTCGACTAAATAGATAACTGTTTTCTTTGATTATAAATAATATGTTCTTGGTTGTACCTTTTAAACTAAATTGTATATTAAATAAGCCCTACTCAAAGAACAATTAAATTCTTTCTCAAGTGATCAAACTTGTTATGAGGATGAATACAATACTAGATTTTACTAATTAAAAAAGTAAATTTTACTGGATACTTGAATACAACTGATATATTAGAGTTGATCCTTATACTTATAACAATAACTAACCTTAACTTTTGGTGGTAGGTTCAGACGCGTTTCCGGTTCAATCACGTGGTTTTTACAGAGTCCATGTACTTTTTAGAGCTCAAAATTTTTTTTAGCACCGGACTCAATAGCCGGAATTCTGATTTGTTTTTCAAAGATTATAAGACCAAGAGAAAAAAACATTTACACATTTTTATATCACTTCTTTCTTTTCATATTATAAATCATCAACTACCTTTTTCATAAATATAAAAAATCAACTTGAGATTTAACAAATAACAATCTGGAATTCAACAACAATAAATTCAATCAGGGGATTTAGAATAAAAAATACGATCTGGGTTTTTAATAAATAATAAATACAAATTGGGTTTTAGAAACAATAAATCCAACTTGGGGTTTTAAAAATGAGAAATCCAACTTGTGGTTTTGAAATAATACAATTTGGGTTTTAGAAATAATATATACTACTTGAGGTTTTAAAAATAATACATACAATCGGGGTCTCAAATTAATATATATAATTGGGGTTTTAGATTAAGAAACACAATCTGAATTTAGAAGATAATTTAAATCTAGGATTCAGGAACTAACAACAGGTGAAGGTTGTCAAAGGCCTTCCCTGTACCAAGATCTTATTAAATTAGATTGATGGTTTAATTATTTTATTGAGAAATTAGAGGTTAAATAGTTGAAAGGTTGCGGCCTGCACCACGTAAATTAATTGTGATTAATTTGGGTCAACTTTTGTGTTGACTTGTTTGGAACACTTAGTAAAAGTTTACCTTTGATGGATCATTCAATGAAGATTTAACTTCAGAATAGGAAACGTTTACAGGCAATATCAAATAAATGTGATAATGCTTCAGCGTTTTTTTGAAGAGTATAAAGTTTTACTTTCAGTTTATATATTAACTTTATATATTTAATTCTCTTAAATAACGTAACACATCACCACATAAATACAAACTACCACAAATAACAATTGGTAAATTTTGTAGATTTTGTTCTTTCTGTTGTTTCAAATACTCAAAAACATCTCTAATATAAGCTTGGTCAGAAACTACCTCAACTTGAACTTCCATTTCTTGAGCAGCTTTTTTAATTTTGGGAATCAGCTCGGGGAAAATCCATGGCATTTGATCAGGTTGGTTGAATAATGTTGGAATGATTATATCATTTGATTTTACAATATGTTTTAATATTGATTTTAAATTTTTACCTTTTGTTATTCCTATAATGAATATTTTAGGTTGTGGAATATTTGAATCTAAGTATCTTGATAATTCTATTGATGCACTTTCGTTATGGGCTCCGTCTAATAGTATCTTTTGGTGGATGTTTGGTACGTTAATGTATTGTAATCTACCTGGCCAATCTGTCTTTTTTATACCTTCAATGATTTGATTCTTTGTGATCTGGTTGTTGTAATATTTGGTGTTTATGTAGTTGGTTATGCTTATTGCTAATGATAAGTTATTGATTTGATATTGACCTTTTAACGGACTATATTTTATTAATTCATTTGTTTCTTCATTTGGTTTTACAATTATCGATTCTGATGATTCACTTTTACATTTTTCCTTTATGACTTGTAAAACTTTTGAATCATTCAGTGAATCAACAAAACATGGAATACTTGATTTAATAATGCCTGCCTTTTCACTAGCAATTGCTTCAATTGAGTCACCTAATAGTTTTTCATGATCCATTCCTATTTTTGTAATACCAGTGGCAATAACTCCTTCATTTGGGTCGGTAATTCTCTCCAATACATTTGTAGCATCTAATCTACCACCAACTCCAACTTCAATTAATGCCAATTCAACTTTTTCGATTTCAAATATCTTGAATGCAGTAACAGTTAAAAGTTCAAACTCTGTACAATTCAATTTTAATTTTTGATTTAGTGACAATATGTCAATGTTAACAATATCAAATTTGGATTTGGAATAAATCTTATTATTTATAGTAATACAATCATTAATCTCAATTAAATGTGGTGATGTAAATTTCCCATTTTTAATTTTATGAGATTGAGTTAAAATTGATGAAATATAAGCTAGCGTTGATCCTTTACCATTTGTACCTGCTATATGAATTGATTTATATTTTAGGTGAGGATTATTTAAATGAGATAGTAGTTTAGTAATACGCGATAGACCTAAATCAATAGGCATCTTGATGTAAGGTGTTGTAAATCAAAACATGGGGGAAAAAGAAAAATAAATTTACAGAGTATTTGTGTGTAGAGTCATTAACAACCAATTCAACTCTAACACAACAATGACTACAGCAGACCAAGAACCATCATATATACAAGAAAGACTAGACTCACTATCAAACATTGATTTTAAAATAGTAGATCTACTACAAGATTTTTCAAATCTATTTGAAAATCATAGTGAAAGTAAAAATCAACAAATATTCACAGAAAACACTTCCAAGATATTCAAAAATTTATCAACAATAGCAATTGATCTACGGAAAGAAATCAAGAAAATGGATGATAATATTGGTTGTTTTAATAAAAACAAGGATAATATCATGATTTTACCTATTAATGTTGATCAAAAAAATGGGAAGTTAGGGTTTAAGAAATTGAATTTTGAAATTAATGAATTGAAGAATTTATTGGGTACTGTTGATGAAAATGAAATTGTTGAGGTAGAACTAAAGGACGAAGATGCACTAGATACAAGTAAGATGGAAATTGACGAAGAACTAGAAGTGAAGGAGGAAAAGATCGAAATTAAAGAGGAAAATAAACCAAACGAAACAGATAAAGCAGAAATAAAAGAAGAAGAAAAACCAATCATTGAAACCAATGATATAGAAACAACAGAAAACAAAAATAACGAAGACGAAGATGACGATATGGAAGATCTATTTTAAAAGTCATTAATCATAATTATACACCCAAAAACTATATTTCCTCAAGATAACCTTGTTGAATTAATCTTTCAACATCATTTTTCCTTACATAAAATTGAGAATCTTTAATTAAATTGAATGAACCATATTCAGTAGTAACATCACCACCATCTTTCAAACATCTAACATCAATAAATATTTCAGTTGGTGGTTTTAAATCACCAGTTAAATCTAAATATTCACCAAATTTTGATTTATATGTTGTTATTAAATTTGAATAATTTTTAAAAAAGTCTTGTTCGAAATGATTTAAGTTATTTAAATCTAATTGAGTTGTATAATTTGGGATTAGTTTTAGTTGTGGTGGTATATATTTAGATTTCGAATTGGTTTGAGTACTTGAAGAGTTGTTATTATTGGAGTTGTTTGTTGATGAATTATTATGATAATTATTATTATTATTCACATTTGTAGTAGTAGTACTTTCTTGTGATATAGATTCAGTTGGATCAATATTTAACCAAGAAAATTCAATTAATTTATCACTTCTTAATTTTTCATAAGCTAATAAACATCTTTTATTCCTTCTCATTGATAAATGTGTTACAAAAGTTTGACATTGATTTATTTTATAATCTTCTTTACTTTCTTCTACTTCTTCTAATCCATGTTGTTCATTTTCTTCTTTTTCTAATTGTAAATTTTCATTAATCATTGATAAATATTCTGCATCTTTATTTAAATCATTTATTTCTTTTATTATATTATTTATTAAATCTGATTGATATATGGGTATATTTGGTAAATTTGAGAATCTTTTTGCATCTAGTATTAGTTTATTAGCTTGGTCTCCGTACATTATAGTTGGTGATTGATTTTTAGGTAGGTGATAGGTAATCTGATGATCTTACTTTATAAGTTGTTTCTGCAATAATTAATATTAGTTGATTATTATTATTATTAATATTATTATTACTAAAGGTATATAAATCACACACGCGACTAGAAAAAATTTCTAATCTGTGAAAGTTTATTGACGTGTCGCAAAAAAAAAGAGTATGTCCATAAAAGATTAATTGTGTCAAATAAAATTCATGGACATATTTCTCTCAGAATGGAGATATGAGAGAAATTCAAAACAATAATGTGGCTAAACCATTATGCATAATAATGAAAGGTTTAACTACAAAGTCATTAATTAAAGGGGAATTATTGACCAAAAATTTTGATAAGATTTGTTTAAAGTTAAAGTTTTTAAATTTTAGGTATTTTATAAATTAAGTGGAGAAAATAAAGGGACCAACTACTTGGATGAATTTTTACAACAAACGTACTTTTAATCAATTAATTCTAAACCATTCACATCCTCAAATCATATGAATAGTTCTGCTTAGGGTTCAATTATACAAACTTGAATGTGTTTAAATAGAGAATTTGAGAAAAGTAAAAAGCAAAAATAAAAAAAGTAAAGAAAGAAAATTAAAAAAATTAATTAATTAAGAAAATTTACGACAACAAAAATTAATTTTTTTTTTTTACAACAACTTTTAATAAAATTAATATTTATTATTCTAGTAGTTATTTACAATCAATTCAACAAAATATCATATTTATATATACATATTACTTTACCAAATTGTTATCACATATATTCATTAAGTTACTAGACACAGTAGCAATATAGTTGAAGAAATCATTACCATTATTATCAATTATTTTTTAGTTCCTATTCATCCATTTCCATATACATTAATTAATACATTCCTTATCTTTTCAATCAACAAAATTTTTTTTTTTAATTTCATTATATACAATTTAATTTAATCTTTTAATATATTCACTTTCAGTTCAATTATTTAAGTTACATTTTTAGTTTTTGTTTAATTTAAATCAATAGCATATAATGGCATTTACTACTGAAAATTCATTATTATCACAAGATAATTTATCACCAACTACTTCAACTTCATATTCTATAGATTCATTACCTCCTAATCAATCACAATTACAACAATCACAACAAAGTCTAGAGTCGCCAAATTACAACAATAATAACGATAACAATCATACCAATAGTAACAGTCACAAGAATTATGAAGATGAAGATTTTTTTTCACCAGCAGCATATTGTTTTATATCAGATCAAAAAGTTCATTTTGAACCAATAGAAGATTATTCAAATGATGAAGATGATTTAAATCAAATTTCAAATACTTTTAAAAAAATTTCAATAATAAAAGATGATTCCGATTATTTACCTGATAAATTATACCTTAAAAATAAAAATTTATTATATTCATTAAATAATCCTTCAGTTTCTGATGTTGAAACTGATACAATTAATAACAACAACAATCATTCAAATTCAACTAACTCAAATGGTAATACGTTGGAAATACCGTCTTCTAAAAACAACTCCATAACAGATACGTCATCCAATTTCTCCAACTCAGAATCACAATCACCATCACCAATTGAAAAATCAAATAATAATAATAATTCAACATCATCAATATATTTCCCCAAATTAGTCATCAACTTATCAGAAAATCTCGAAAATGGATTTATAGAATTGAAAAAATTAATAATGAAAGTATTTCCATTTTGGACTGATTCTTCAAAATTAGAAATTAATCAAGTTACTGGAGGTATTACAAATATGTTATTATCATGTAAATATGACACACAAACTATATTGATAAGAGTTTATGGACATGGAACTAACCTTATTATAGATAGACATCGAGAATTTATAAGTCATTTAATTTTAAATTCGATCAAATTAGCACCACAAGTATATGCAAGATTTAAGAATGGATTAATTTATGGGTACTTATCAGGACATTCATTAAAACCAGAAGAATTATATAATGAACAAATATATCCATTAATAGCTCAACAATTAGGGAACTGGCATAAATCATTAAATTATAAATTAATTGAAGAAGGAGTAGATAAAATTCGAGCTTTAAAATTGAATAATAGAAGAAATTCATTTAGTAAGAAGAAATCATCGAAAAAGAAAAGATTTATATCCAACATATGGGAATTAATTAACGATTGGATTGAAATAGTACCTATAAACCCCGACTTGATAGATTCGTTCCAAACTAATTTACCACATCTAGAAGTAAATGAACAAAATTTAATTGAAGTTATTAAAAATGAATTTAATTGGTTACAACAAACTTTAGAGAAAATCAATTCACCAATAGTATCATGTCATTGTGATTTATTATCAGGAAATGTAATAATACCAGATAAAACCACCAACTTTATAAATTTACCACCAATTGAATCCAATCCTATAAAATTTATTGATTATGAATATATGTTACCAGCACCAAGAGCATTCGATATAGCAAATCATTTTGCAGAATGGCAAGGTTTTGATTGTGATAGAGAAGCAATACCTAAACCAACAATAGATAATCCTATAATTATCAAATGGTGTAAAAGTTATTTAAATAATGAAGGTCCGATTAATGAAGAAGAAATAACTAAATTAATTGAAGAAATTTCAATGTTTTATGGATTACCTGGTTTTTATTGGGGGATTTGGGCAATGATTCAAAGTGAATTATCAAATATAAATTTTAATTATTCAAATTATGGTAAATTAAGATTAGAAGAATATTGGGATTGGAAAAATAAAAATAAAGAAAAAACTGAATCCATTAATAATCATTAACTCATATATATATATTTATATAATTAGCATTTTTTAATCGAAAAAGGACAATCATCAACTAATTATTATCTTCTTAAATCAACAATTGTAGTATATTGAGTCCTTGAAGAAACTAATATACACCATTTATGACCCTTTAATGATTCTTTAACAAGACAATTTAAAATATTCATTGCAAAACTTTTTGGTAAATTATTTGAACTAAATACTACTTTTCTAATCCATTCATCTTGTTGATGTATTGAAGTAATACTAATCATATCTAAAACTTCATCTCTTAAATCAAATATTAATACTGGTCCTTGTGCTAAAGTTTGTATTGCTTTACCACCTATTATTTTAGCGTTATTTTCAATTTCCCATTTTTCTCGTTTATTGTTTTTACGACCTCTTGGTGCATCATTATTTACTACTGTTATTTTTTGATTTAAATCGATAGTGGTTAATTCTACTTCTGGTTTATCATTTTCAAAATCTACTTCTGTTTCTTCTTCTTCGTATTCTGGATTTGTTGGTGCTGTATCCTCTCCTAGATCTGATGATAAAAAGCTAATTAATTCGTCATAGTTATCCAAATCAACGTCTTTTCCAGAAGTTAAACATTTGATCTTTAGTGGTTTAAATATTGATGATTTTTTAGAACTATGTCTTTTACTACTTACTAATTGTTGTGACTGTCTAATTAAAACAACATATTTTGCACCATCTAGATAAGCTTGATTTATAATTTCGTCTTGAGTATTTGCATTCAAAATATCCGAGCTTATGTTTTTTGACCATAACCTACCTAAAATTTCGTAACCACATATGTCAATATTATCTTGTTGAGTTGAACTAACTATAACATCACATCTATTACCTTTCCATTTCAGTATCTCAAATTTACTTGGTATTTTTCTTGATATAATGTTTTTCATTAATGTGAATAAAAAGGAGGTAGTTAAAGTAAATCCAACTCCGTTATATTGTTTATGTAGATTTGTTGAATTTGTGGTAGTAATTGATATATCTTTGAACGAATTTATTAATGAATCAAATCTACCACCAGTTATGATTCTGTTGAACCTTTTCGATTTCTCACTTTTTATAACAGCTTGAAACATTAGTCCATGACGATAATATTGATTATCATAATTGATCAATGGATTAAACAAAACTTCACTTTGTATTTGAAATTGCTTTAGTATATCCAATACTTTAATCAAGTAAGCAAATGATTTTTCAACTTTTATTAGATGTGGAGAATCAATCATTAATTTCTGTAATTTATGTCTTGCTTCGTGAATTGAACATGTAAATCTAAAATTTCCAATTAATTCTTCAACTGCTATTCTTGGTATTTGAAAATCTTCCTTTAAGATTTTTTTTATTTCATCATTAGTTTTGTCTATACCTAATTGCGATAAAACTTGAAACACCTCTATTCTCTTTTGATCATCTATTGGAACATTTTTAAAAGCAAATGAAATAACAGCATTTAAAATATCATAATTATTGATTAATATAATTTTTTTGACTGGCAAGTTTGGTATCATATGTAAAACTTCATCAGCTATTTTTATACATTCAGCATCATTAGTAATAATGTCATTATCTGATGTACTAATTATATTAAAATTCATAGCACTATAAGTATCTGGCATTCCCATCCCTTTTAAATTCGGTCTGTATACAAATTCATGACGATAAAATTTTGAAATGTTGACTTCATTTTTACTTATAAATCTAGCAACTGGTATAATCAAATCATAAGGTAATGTTAAAACTTGACCACTTCTATCTAAAACTTCATAGACTTGATTTTTTTGTAAATTGGGAATTTTAGGTAGTATTAAATTTGTATTTATATTTTCAATTGCACCATGTTTATGGAAAATTTTGACTAACTCATCAACAATCTTATTGAATAAAAGATAATCATTTGCGGAAATTTCTGAATACTTGTTATCACTATCAAATAATAAATCTTTTGCCAATGAGTAAGGTTGATTAAATAAAGTTTCTCGTACCTGTTGTTGCCATGGTGAAGCGGGATCAGCTAATGATTTCAATGCTTCTTTGATCACTTGATCTTGATGTTCTATTGGTAAATAACTGCTTTGCAATAACTCAGAAGCACTTGGTCTTTGTTCTGCGTTAGGATTTAATAATTGTTCAACAATTTTCTTTTCTGGTGAATTTTTCCAATTAGTTGGATATACTTGTTGTCTCAATCTATTCAAAATTAGTGCCCTTTCCATACCTGTTGATAATGAGTAACACATTTCAAAGAATATCACACCTAAAGAAAACATATCAACTTTTTCATCATATCTACCAGACGACACTTCAGGAGCAGTATAAAAAACAGTACCTACAACAGTTGATAATTCACCATTTCTAGTTGTTGCTTTATCAACTTTCTCATTTATTTGTTGCACTGATGGTAAAAACTGAGAATTTTTAGCTAATCCAAAATCTCCAACTTTTATATTATTTGATCTATCAATAAAAATATTCATTGGTTTTAAATCTCTATGGATGAAACCTTCTCTATGGATGTATGAGACAGCTTCTAATAACTGACGAAATAATCTCCAATATTCACTAGGGTTTCCTGGTAGTCCTTGCTCTATTAAATTCAATAATGTATTATTCTCACAAAATTCCATTTGAATATAAAGTATAGATTTGGGATAGAATTTTTGTTCAACTTTTGGTGGTACAGTTGGTTTAAATATAGCATTATTTGACTCCAGTGCTGTTGTACTTGCACTTTCTTCTTTAGTGTTATCCAAATCAGTTGAATTTGCAAAAACAAATCCATCTTCATCTTCTTCATCATCCTCAAATTTATTGCCAAATGATTCATCATCAAATTCCACTCTAGGATCAAAAGATCTGGACATATAATCTATTTGAAATGAGCTATTGTGTGTTGGTAAATACGATGATGATTGGTTTGTATGATTTAGACTTGACATATCAGATTCGTCTTCTTGTATTGCTTCTTCGTTAGTCGGAACAATAGAAGATTCAGTTTCATCTTCATTATTATTTTCTTCTTCGTCTTCCTCAACCCATGTACTATAGTATCTTACAATATATTGATGGTTCAATCTTGCTAATGATAGCACTTCACTCAATATGTAATCTAATTTATTTGCACGATGTTTGATTTTTTTGACTGCATAATATGTACCTTCCATTCTATTACGGGCTTTCACAACATCACCAAACCCTCCTTTACCTAATCTTCCAATTTCTTCAAAATCCCTTTCATATCTGCTATTTCGTTGTTTTTCTGATGAAACCATTGATGAATTTAAATTTCGAATTATATCTGGATTTTTTAGTTCGTTTGAGAATTTCCTTCGTGTTTTCGTAGTGGGGGATCTTAGACTTTTTTGATCATTATTGTGCATATGAGTTGTGGTTTGCTTTAGTATAGGACCATCACGTAGAAATTTAACAGCATTCAATTCCATTAATGTAGGTCTTTTTGAAAATTTTAACTGTAATAGCTTGTTCAATAAATCATAAACCAGCTCTGCATATTCTTCACTTTGTAGTTTCATTTTCTCAACAAACTTTTTATTGAACTCTTCTGGTGTTGGGAAATCTTTATTTAATGTGTCCTTACCCATAATAACTTTTAAAAATAATACACCTAAATCCCAAACATCTGTCTTTGGATTATAATCACCACTAGCCTTGAGTTCTGGAGCGATCCATGATTCAGGTACCTGGTTTTTGTCCTTGAGAAATTTGGTTGTGCCACCATTTGGATGAGTTTCAATCATGTTGTTTAATTTATAACCGTAAGATGGATGACATAGTTTTATAATTTTTGTATCATTTAATAAACTTGACTCTGAATAACTACTATTTAAAACATTTTCATCATCAAATATTACAGCAGTGAATGAATTAATCAGTTTATGTATAACTCCTGAGTTATGTAACTGCTCTATTACTGGTATCAAATCCATCAACCATTTTCTAGCTAGTGGTAGACTTATGTGACCTTTTGCAGGCATAATTTCATTAATTGATTCTGCAACGAATGAGAACTCATTTAGTAGTCGTACTTTCCATCCATCGTTTTTGTCAATTTGAAAACCTATTAATTTCAAAATATGTGGGTCTCTTAGCTTTAGACAATTTTGTAGTTCCTTCTCTAGATCCTGAATTTCGTGCTTACCTCCATCTTTTTGCCAATACGAATTATCCAAAACTATTTCTGTTAACAAGTAAGTTAATTCCAATCCTTGCTTATCAGCTTTCTGTTGAATTTCTCTTGTTACAAAAGGTTTAACTATCATTTGTTTACCAATCGAATTGAATATACCTCTTTTTGTATACTTTATAAAACCTGAAACTGCTCTAAACTTAAATTTAATTCTACTATTTGGTAGTATGTCCTCCATTTCATTATCAAATATAAAATAATTTTGATGATCCACTGGCAATGGCACGATATCAGCCAGTTCATCCTCATCATCTGATTCTTCGACTAATTCGTCTTTGAGTTTTTGTATTTGTTCATTTAATTCTTTGCCTCTTTTCTTGGTTGACAATTCTTTATCTCGTTGTTGTTTGGCTTCTTTCTCCTCTAGTGCTATTCTCTCATTTCTCAATCTCTGTTCTCTTTCTTCTTCTAACGACAACACTTTTTCCGTGGTTGCTTGAATTTCATCCAAAATAAATTTAAGCTCAGATATGATTGTAAATGCAACCTCTTCATTCTTGTACTCCTTTAATAGTTCATCAACCTTTGATTTTAGTTTAGATACATGGATTTTTAGTAGGTTATGAGGTTGAAGTAATTTGACTTTTGGAGAACTCAATGGATAAGTTGGTGTAAATTCAATATCTAGTATGATTGATACTTCAGGGTTTCTACAAACTTCATCTGAAACTAAATGAATTTGAAAATGAGGATTTGGTTTCTTATTCCATATTAATTCTTTTGATGTAATATTCTTAAAAATATCACCATAAATCGATTCTATACTATTTAATTCATCTTCTTGTCTATGTTCTAGTTCCAGTGAAATGCTAACTTCTTTCATAAAACTATAAGACTGTGCAGATCAATTATAATGATCTTTAATTGTTTGTATTGATTCTCTTTTATTAGATGATAAGGAATTGATAAAAAAAAAAAAATTGACCCTAAATAAAGATCTATTGAAACAGATTAATGACGTATGAATAGATTTGATTGATTTAGAATTGCTGGTGTAATACCTTTTCGTTGAACTCAATTAATAATAAGATCTAATAATTTAATAAATGATTCAAAATAAATTTGGTTGTCAAAACTTCTGCAGGTTCTATTTATATAATTAAATATTATTTATTTAGAATATAAAAAGGTACCCTTAATTAAAAAGTAATAAGAGAATTGACTTAAAAGTTATGACAAGTTTTTGTTTGTCATGTCACAAAAGAATTACCAAAATAACTTAATTAAATTTATATTCGTGTTTCAAGTTGTTTATCAATTAATTACAACCACCGGTGATTATTTAAATGCCCCTAGTTGATCAAATTGAAGACGGTGAAGATACAATAAGAATTTTATTGACAACAGATAACCATGTTGGTTATTCAGAAAATGATCCAATAAGAGGTGATGATAGCTGGAAAACATTTGAAGAAATTACAGAAATTGCAAAAAATTCCAATATAGATATGATGATTCAAGGTGGAGATTTATTTCACATCAACAAACCTTCAAAAAAATCAATGTATCATGTAATGAAATCTTTAAGAAATAACTGTATGGGGGATAAACCATGTCAATTAGAATTATTAAGTGATCCAAAATTTTGTTTATCAAACGGGTTTGATGATGTCAATTATGAAGATCCAAACTTAAATATTTCAGTTCCCGTTTTTGCAATAAGTGGTAATCATGATGATGCAACTGGTGATGGATTGTTATCAGCTTTAGATGTTTTAGCAGTTTCAGGTTTAGTAAATTATTTTGGTAAAGTTAAAGATACTGAATCCATAACCGTAAAACCTATATTATTACAAAAAGGTAGAACAAAATTAGCATTATATGGAATGTCAAATGTAAGAGATGAAAGATTACATAGATTATTTAGAGATGGAGGAGTTAAATTTGAAAGACCAAGTATTGATATGAATGATTGGTTTAATTTATTTGTAATTCATCAAAATCATGCAATGCATACTTTTAAATCTAGTATACCTGAAAATTTTTTACCTCATTTTCTTGACTTTATATTATGGGGTCATGAACATGAATGTATTCATCATCCTGTGCATAATCCAGAAACTTCATTTGATGTTTTACAAGCTGGTTCTTCTATTGCAACATCATTATCTGAAGGTGAAGTAGCTGATAAAAAAGTATTTATCTTAAAAATTAAAGGAAATGATTATTCTATCGAATCTATTGAATTGAAAACTGTCAGACCATTTGTTTTGAGTGAAATATCTTTATCCAGGACTGATTTAATTCCAGGAGCTGCTTCAAAAGCTGATGTCATTGCTTTTTTGGTTGATGAAGTTGAAAAAGCTATTGAAAAAGCAAATTTATCATATAAAAGAAGTCATCCAGATTTAACTGAAGATTCAGAAATACCACTTCCACTTATAAGACTCAGGGTTGAATATAGCGGTGGTTATGAAATAGAAAATGTTCGAAGATTTTCTAATCAATTTGTTGGTAAAATCGCCAATGTCAATGACGTTGTTCAATTTTACAAAAAGAAAACTGTAGGTACTACAGCTATTAAAAAGACCAAGTTCCATTACGATGAAAATCCAGAAGATACACCTGAAGAAAAAAAAGAGCTCCAATTAAGTGATATAATTCAAGGATTTCTCAAACAAGCAGATATGGTCTTGATCCCACAATTAGGAATAGATAATGCAGTTCAGGGTTTTCTAAAAGATGATAAATCATCCCTTACTTCATTTATAAAAAAGGAAACTTCAACAGCTGCTGAAAAATTAAAAAGTGTTGATCTTGCTGAAGATGATGCTGCTGAAAATGATGATTCCAAAATGAAAATGAAACATTTACTAGCGCAATTGAGAACTAGCTCATCGGAACCACTAACTAATGAAAGTATCACAACAAAGCCAAAAACGAATAGAAAACAACAATCTCAAAAACCGGCAAAACGGTCAAAAACGAAAGTAATTGAAATATTAAGTTCAAATGAAGAAGAAGATAATGATGATGATGATGATGATGACGAAGCTATGTTAAGCTCTGATGAGTACAATCCAAGAGTAGATAGAGGAAGGGGAAGAGGAAGAGGGAGAGGGAGAAGAAGAGGAAATTAAAATAATAATAAAGTAAAAATTCAATTCTAGCAAATAGTATAATGGTATCAATTTCTTATGTAGTTGATTTAATAAAATAAAATTTTTAACGAATTTAAGTTTGGCATTGCTTGATCAAGTCCTCGACATTAAACTTTTCACTACCTTCATTAAAGCTCTTGAGTAATTCCAATTTTTCTTTTGATTTACCAGAGTAAAAGGTTTGAATATTCAAAATCAATACTTGAGCTTCTTGCATTGTAAGACCACTTTCTTTTTCAACATACCCGTTCATTAATACTAAGTCTTTATCGTGAGCGAATTCTTGATGGAATGTTAATATAGTATGTGGTCTTGAAAACTCTTGATTGATTTTATATTCAGCTAATGTTGTAATCAAACAATGAGTAGTATTTGGACCAACAAATGCCCATTGAATGAATTCCAATTCATGACCGTCTTGTTTAGGCTTTGGCAAAGGTAAAATGAAATATGGATACTTGTGAGCATTGACATATATGTCTGCAAATTGCTCCGCACTCAAAGTAGCATGTAATGTTCTATCTTTATTTGCAAATCTATGTTTCCAAATTTCTTTAATATCATAAGTTGGTAAATCCTTTGCTTTGTCTACTGCAATAAAATCGTTTAATACTTTAAAAGGTAATTGTTCTTGTTCCTTATTTGCTTTATTTATATTAATTACTGAACCATCTTTTGGTTTTTCTTCATGTTGTTGTTTTGCCCAATTACTAAACTCTTTCAAAGGATCAACTCCACCTAAATCAAATTTAACTTTTTCAATTTGATCTTTATATTTGTCTTTCAAATCTTCAATATTGTTGATTCCTAATTCTTTTGCTTTTTTTTCTAAAAGATGTTTATATTTATTAATAACATCAAGGTTAATTTCTTTTTCATTTGAGAATTGATTTAATAAATTAGCACTTTCTTGTTTTATGGTATCTTTTATATTTTTTGCATCTTTGATTGGTTCTTTTAAATCATTAACTAATTTTGAAGCTTTATCGTTTATTGAGGAATTGTATCTTAATTGTGAAAGAACAATTGGTTTGGTCTTGGTGAGTAATGAGTACCTTTGAAGCATCTTTGGGTCTTAAAGTTAAAAAGAAGTAGTATTAATTGATTGAAAATTGATTTTAAATAATTGCTTTTTATATTCCATAATAGAATTTTGCAGATTTCCTTAATATTAAATTTTGAAACAATTTTTTTTTTTTTTCCGTTTACATAGAATAGAATATTTATATAAGTAAGTTTTAGAATCAATTAGAAAAAGAAGAATTAAGAAATTAAATAATTTGACAAAAAACAATGTATTAATACAATATATTAATAGATATACATTTCATGCAGTGATAGTAAGAGATTATAAAGTAGTCGTTTATAAAAAATTATAAACTATTCTATCTAATAAATAAATATTCAAAAACCTATTCTATTTTAATCTTTTTTTGTATCTTTAACTACATTATCACCAGATGGTGCTTCTAAATCCAAAATTTTTTCTTCTTTTGGTTTTGATTCATTAGCAGTTTGACCAGAACTATGTGCTAAAGGTTCAGGAACTTTATTAAATTCCAATACATTTGAATCTATAGATTGTCCTTCACTTTCTAAGTAATCTTTTAAATTAAATTTTTCATCTCTTATAAAACCTAAATTATCAGCAATTAAATGTCTACTTTTACATTTTGGACATTGAATTAATACCGTACCATGTTCATAAGCTTGTTTGGACATATTATGTTTTGATCTTGTATCACATACATTACATGTAAATTCTATTAATAATTCCCCTTTATCTGAATTTGGATCTGGTTGATTTGCTGAGCCACTTGATTGAAATCTTTTTATATCATTTGAAATTTTAAAAACTGGGGTAAAATGTTTTGGTATGTATGGTTTTGTTAATGTAAATAAAAATTGTCTCTTGGTGATTGATTTAAATTGATTTCTTGGAACATTAATTGATTTAGTGGTAGTTCTAATTAAAGATGATCTAGATAACATTTTTGTAGTAACTTCTAAGGTTATATTTCGTCTTATCTTAGTGGGGGTAGTGAAAAATTAGTGAGAGAGATGGATCAATCTTTAAATAATAATTAACAATTAATAGCAACTATTGATATATTTCTACAACAATCTTTAAATTTTATTATACTTGTGTCTCAACTTAACTTAACTCATGTCACATATCATCAATATATAACATTTTTACATATTTTTTCTTAACAAGTAATGAAAACATCACCAATTAAAGTACCATCATCAATACGACGAATTATTGAATTATTTCAAATATTATCCACTAATCAAAATGCATCATACCAAAGTAAATACATTACAAATTATCTACATGATACTTCAGATTTATCTTTGAGAAATGTCAATTGGTCAACAATGAATAAAAATATGAATGGAGGTGTTTTTGGTAAGTACGATAGAAATAGAGATCAATTATTGTTTTCAAATCCCATTCCATTTGGTGTAAACGAGCTATTAGATACAAAATCACTTTTCAAATCTAAAATAAAATTCAATTCACCTAATGAATTAATTTCGAAGTACCCAAAAGGATTCAAAAATTCAAATGTTTTCATAAACGATATAAAATCATTAGTTAATGCTTATTATAACCCCAAAAAATCAATACCAATAAACCAAAAATATAGACAAATTTTCAAATACTACCTACAAAGATTAAATTCCCCTACTAATGTGATGATAATACTAAAACAAGATCAAAGGTTATTCTCACAGTCCTCATTAGAAAATTGGAATCAAGAATATATAGAGATCTCAAATTTTATAAGAAAATTGAATTATGACGACCATCACCAAAAATATAAAGATTCTTTTGAAATTAGTAAAGTTGTAGATCCTGATATTTTGAATCTTTCACTTAAAAGTCATTATTTATTTGAAAATGCTAAAAATTTGGATAGATCAATTGATCAAGCTTCTTGGGATGAGATTAATACAGTCACAGATAGGATAGCTGATAATATTACAGAGAATCAAGAAATGAGGTTTATGAAAGGTAAAAAAAAAGTTGATCCTTCAACAGAAGACCCCTTATTAGATCAACAAATTTCGGAAGTATTTGATCTACTTGGGAAATTTGGTAATGATGATTTGAGTTTTATATTGCAAGATTTTAAATTTGATTTGATATATAATCAGTTTTTTATGTTGAATGTCTTGAATTCAAAAACTGATTATAGTCAAATTTTAGAGTATTTGCATAAACATTCGTCATTTGATGTCATTGGAATCAAAGAAAATAATTTAGTACACAAATAGTTCATGTATATATTAAATGCATTATTGACTTCTATTTATATATTTTGCAATATTTTCTGCAGTTTCCGAAGAAATGGGATTTCCTCTATCTTCCATGGCCTTGGCGTATCTATCTCTTATATCACTATCGGTTGACTCATTTAATTCATTTGACCTATCCTCTGGAAAAGTATACTCTCTCGATGGATTTCCCAAAGCCTCTTCTTCGTCATCTGGATAAACTTCACCTTGTAATTCTTCATCCACATCATCCTCATTTTCAAAATCAGATAATACTTCACTATCTTTTTTTGTATTCATATCCATATCTTTCATTAACTTATTTAAACTTTGAGTTTGTCTTTTCTTTTCGTCGTCTTCTTTTTTATTCAATATTCTATCTCTTTCAGCTTTATAATATTCATTATATTCATCAACTTTACTATCTACAGCATCTAAAAATTCATCAAATCCTTGTCCCGTATATGAACTTACTCCAACAACATCTAAATTTTGATAAAATTCTTCAAGCATTAATGACATTGAGTTCACCAACGAAGTCATGTATCCACTTGAACTTTCATTATTTAATTCTTGGTTTGTTTTAATAGCTTCTTGAAATACCTCAAAATCTGACATCCACTCTTTTGCAAATTCACAACTTTGTATATCTGTTTTATTAAAAACTACAATCATTGGTAATTTTGTCTTATATAGTATTGAACATGCATATAACATATTTGACATAAAAGTTGTAGGATTTGTATTTCTTGGTGTATCTACAATATAGGCAATCATTGTTGGATAAGTTGATGCAAATGCTTCTGTTATTATAGATCCACTTGCACTCCATATAAAACATTCAATTTGACCAGGGGTATCAACAATCACTTCTTTAATTTTATCTTGCTTCTTATCGACTAATTTTATAACTTGATCTATTTTAGTACTGAATAAATTTAATGATGTTACAATAGCTCCATTGGGACCTAGGTTGTACTCCTCCATCACTTTTTTGTACTTTATTGAATCTCTGATATCTATATTACACCCAAATGGTACTTTTAAAACAGCTGGATCTAAATTTATAACATATGGAATTTGTTTCTTTTGATGTAAATATGAATTTAATCTTTGCATAAATGTAGTTTTACCAGATCCCGCCATTCCTATACAGAATATAACTGGTGATAGTTTTTCATTAGATACTGTGGAAGTAGATGCATCTTTTTTGGTGGTTTGTTCTGACATAATTGAACTGGTGTTGGTTGTAAAGATCTGATTGTCTGAATCTTAAATTAAATTTCTGTGATGTTCTTCGCGTTAAATTACAAATCCATACAGAGATAATTCCACGCAAATATTTAAAACTTACAAATTTCTTTAAGAATTCTCTATCAGCTATATTTTTCTATAAATCTTTCTACGACTTTATCATATATACTTTCATGAATTAAAATTTGTAAATTTTCAGCTTCTGCTTTAAATACCTTATCTGCTTTCGGACCACCAGGACCTCCAATGTTTGGCATTGGTTGTTGTTGTTGTTGCTGTTGTCTAATCAATTCATCAGCTTCATCAGATCCCATAATCAATGAATATACTGGTCTCAACCCCATTAAACTTATGAAATACCATGATATAGAAGAAACATAACGAACATTTAAATTAGGAGTCATTATACCATTTTGTAACATACTCTTAAATCCATCAGTTAATGGGAATGGTAATTTCATGATGACAAAACCGGCAAAGAAATAATTAACCCAACCCATTACTAAAGTTTGTGGTATATAGTTCATTAAATTACCTTTAGCCATCGACATTATTGCATCATTATTCGAACCATCAAATGGATTCATTTGTTCCTCTTGTTTACCTTTTTCTGCAAAAAATTCATCACTGTTTAATTTTGATATAAGGTATGCCTTGTATGAATTAAATTCTTCTTGAGTTAATACGTGTTGATTTTCTTTGAAACATCTAACTTTTTGAAGAAATTGACTATGATCAGTTAGTATGGTTAAGCTCATAAAATACGCTTTAATTCATCATACATACGCTTCTCTTACTTTTTTATATTCTTGAAGTTTTGGATTTGGTTGTATTAAATATGTTATATTTGATCTTAATAAACCAACTAATACCATTGCAATTGATATTGGTAATAATACCCAATATTTTAGTTGAGGATCTAGTAGTAAATCTGGTACAATCATTTTTGAATAATTATTAGTGATGATGAAATACTTCAAGTGATTTGTTGCTTTGAAATGATATTGGATGTGGTTGTAAGAAATTTTGAAGTAATTTACTCTTACATAATAAATTCTGGTAAGCACTGCTACCAGTTCAAAATCGATTTGTTAGCATTTTACAGCTACAATCGAAGAGATCATGTAGGTTGTCTAAGCTTAGTGCTTCAGTCTATTAATAATGCATTATATGTGTATAAGTTATCATATCTAATAATGGTTTAATCTCCATAAAGTTACTTTACCAGCTTCATTTCCAATTGCCAAAATTTCATTATTTGGTGAAAAAACTACACTAGTAACTCTTCCCAAAGGTGTACCACTGGTTGGCCAATTACTAAAAACAGATCCAGTTTGTACATGTACTAATTTCAATGCATCTCTTTTAGCTCTTGAAGCAATACATAATAATTGACCATCTGGATTAAACACCAAAGAAGATATTGAAGTTACTAAATTTTCTATAGTCTTGTAAGGTTTTGGATTGGCAGTATCTGTGAAAATATTTCTATCATATAAATTGATATAACCATTATTTGAACCAATTGCAACCCATCTTGAATTCTTTCCACCTAATTTTATTTTGGTTATCCCAACACCACCATCATCTGACCATTTCCTTAAAATTTTATTTTCAGATTTTGAAGATAATTTCCCACTTAATGAAAATTCCCAGACATCACCTGCTGAATTAACAATAACCACAAATTTTTCATCATTATCAAAATCAAAATCAACAACAACACCTTCAATTTTGAAACCTTTTATCCATTGACCAGTTTTACCATTTATTAAATTAAACCAACCTGAATTACCAATCATTCCAATATAACTTCCCTTAGAACTAATTTTAAAATTTTCAAAAGATTTTTGATTTTCTTCATGTCCGTACATTCTACTTATTTTTTCAATTTCTCCCGTTTTTAAATTTATTTTATTCATGTATTTTCTTCTACCTGCTGCATATATTATTTCTTCATTTGGATTGGGGAAAAATTGACATTGCATTATTGGACAATTTTTGAGATAGTATGATGTTATAAAATTATTTGTTTTACCATCGATTTGATAAAGTCGTATTGTTTTGTCGAATCCGGCTGTTAATAATATTGAATGAGTAGGGTGAAATGATATTGCTTGAATTGCTGCCTTAGAAAGTTTCTGATGATTTGCATCTTTCAACCTTGTTATGGATATATTTTGTGGAGAAATTAATTTTAATTGTTTTGTAGTTAGGAATTGATGAGTTGTTGACAATAATTTGTTTAGTTTTGCAGTGTTTGCTTGTGAATTTGTTGATGCTTCTTCTTCTTCATCATCTATAAGTATATCATCGTCTGAACTATTTACATCTTTATCTTCTCCAAATTGATCTGCCCATTGTGGTCTTGGATATATCTTTTCAAATTGTGAACGTAGCCTTATTATGTATGATTTTCCTGATATGTAGTTGTCTTCTGGAGTTTTTCTTAATTTTTTCAATCGGTCTGATGTTGCTAATGATATATTGACTTTTTCATCATCACTATCAACCCATGCATCTTCTTCATCGTCTAATCCATCTTCTGATGATTCTTGTTCTTCTTCATCATCTACCTCCATATCGTCACTATCTTCTTCTTTATTAATCCCGTCATCAATGTAAAACAAATCTTCATCCTGTACATCATCTATGTCTTCACTTTCTTCTCCACTTTCGTCATTATCTACTACTTCTTCCTCATCTTCTTCATCAAAATCAAATAGACTTCCAACTTTTCTCAAATTATTTTCTAATCCCGCTATATCCCCAAATACTAATTTCTCCAACATTAATTCCTCCTCATCTTTTGGTGGTATCGGCACTTCATCTCCATTCTTATTTTTTGGCATTGTTGGTGGTTCTAATTATTTAGTTCATGGTTTCAAATATTGATCTGAAAAAATGTAAGAGATGAGAAATGAGGTACACAAAATTATGAGCTACCAACCACCAGTCAATAAATTCACGAGATTATTTCGATATAGAGCTTCACTACAACCAGTAATAAATCCGTAAATGTTCATTCAATTTGTCTATGTAATTACTTGTCACCTTTCATTTTACTAACAAAAGTGACAAAATATTTTTTAAAGTCTTTTAAATCTAAATTTATCAAGTTTGTACAAAATTCATTTAATAAATTTGAACTTAATCCCATATTTGATAAATAAGTTGACAAATATTCAATAAATTCTTGTCCTTTTTTTTGTTGATAAGTCTTCAATAAAATTGCTAAATCTTGAGCTATTAATCTATATTGAGCATCACTTAAAATGAACTCTTGTTTTTGAAATGGTAATTCAAATGATAAAATTACAACTTTTTCCATTAAAAATTCATCAATTCCTTGTATTGCAGGTAATGATTGTCCATACTTATCTTGATCATCTGTTATTTTCCCACTGTCTCCAAATACATTAACAAGGTTAATTAATTGAACTATAGCTGATTTTGATGCTGTTGTTTCTGATAAATCATATGAATATTCAAATAATTTAGATACAACTATCGGAAATTCATTTTTGTTACTTTGTGTGATTAATAAACTTGATAAATGGTTGATAATAATGGCATTAAGAAAATTGAGTATTGCTTTTTTTAAGAAATTTTTATCTCTAATAATGTCTGGTCTTAAAGTTTCTTCTTCGGTGCTTGATTGATCTAATGTTTGAAAAACTTTTGAAAATAAAGGTGTTAAAAAGTTATTAAGTAGTTGATAAATATTTTCATCTGTTCTATAACTATGAGCAATTTGTCCTAAGAAACTTAAAAAGTCACTGATTTCATTGATTTTCAAATTCGATGATGACCAAATAGTTGTAATTAATTTAGTGAGGTGACCGCTTATGATCGTACTGTTTAAAATTGGTATAAATCTTGCAAATGCAAATCTTGATGCATCTCTTACATTTTCAAATTTTGAAAAATTTTCCAAAGTAATTAAAACTACTTGTGCTGCATTGTCCACTTTTTCAACAACTTCTGGAGTAAACTTTAAATTCAGTTCATAATCATAACCTCTTGCTATAGTACCTAAAGCCATTAATGAATGATGTGCTTGTAAAACAACTATTGGTTCTGCATCCATGGAAATACATTTTTCTAAATCATTGAAAATTGGTTGAAATAAAATTTCAATTAATTTAACTTTCAAAGTTCCCAAATCATTTGGAATCAATGAAATTAAAAGCCCCATAGTTTCAAAAAGGTATTGTTGATTGCTGAAATTACCATTTTCAATTACATCATCATCTTCATCTCTTGTCGGTAATTCAGCTTTGATGACTAGAAGTGGTTGTAGTTTCAATACAATCTGTTCTATTAACTGTTCATTGTCCATTTTTGGTTTAGTCAACTTAAAGAACCTAAAAAATAAATACCAACTTCTTAATCTAACTCTTTCGTTATTGTTGAAAAGTCCTAATGGTGACGTAAAAATTTCCAATATCCTTAAGATTAAATCGTGTCTGTTGGCGTGTGAATTTAAAAAACTATAATGTTTGACTACTAATTCAAAAAAGCTCGCTTGAATTTGTGAATGATTAACTTCAGTGATAATTGATGAATTAATTAATTTGATCAAAAAATCTTGAAATACCAAAAAAGGTTTACTTTCATTGATTTTGTTTTTTGGTACATTGATCAAATTCATTTTCAAACTTTCTGAGAAGTTACTTAATTCAAAAAGTCCTAATTCTAAGTTATTCCATTGTTTATCTCCTGAAAATAATGATTCATTTATAACCAGTGGGATGGCATCTATATACAAGTCTGGTGCCAACACAGCAATGAGATCTTGAAAGTGTTTTAATTTGGTTCTAAATTCATTGAATTGTCTTTCTGCATCATCATCGTCATCTTCTTCATCATCATATTTCATTTTTAATATAATTTTGTTCAACAAAGTTGATAATAAATCTATAGAATATAATTGTGAATCTTTTTTACTTGCTGTAAGGAATGCTTGGATGAAAGGGAAAACACATTGTGAAACATCGTCATATTCATGACTCAAAAATGTGAGTATTATTGGCCATAATTTATATAAGTGTTCGTTTACTTGAATAGTAATATCTGATTGATTGTTTAAAACATGCAATAGCTCTTCTCCAATTTGATTTGCTAATTTTGATACATTTTCTACAAAATCAAGATCATCTGATAATTGAATGGATGATATAATATTGGTTAGGTTGAGTAGTGATATTAATTCTAATTTGTTTTGTGGTGGCATTTTTTTGGATAAGATGTGAACCAAAGTTTTACATGTGGAAATTCTTTCTTGTTCCCTATTAAAAAAGCCCAATATGGTATTGATATACTGTGGGGAAACAAATAAACTTATATCCATCCAGTCGACATATTGTCCAATAATGTTTAAAGTATTGTCTAGTATTTCCTCCGAATTATCATTGTTCGCTAGTATTTTGAACCAATTTGTAACTAATGCATTCATATCTTTATCTCTGATGGCATCTTTCAATACCATATTTCTTTCTGCCGCTTCTGGTGATCTTGCTATATATTTATCTCCAATTTCTAAATGAATATCAATTAAAATTCTTGTATAATAGTCTAATGCTAGCTGATTATCATTTTGAATCATAGAATTTAAATCTTTAAAAAAATTAGGGTATACATTGATATAAGTTTGAGTAAAAATCTTACCAAATATTTGACCAAATTTATTTTTTAAATACGAGGGGTCTTTTATATTGTTAGACACGTATTCTGCTAGTATTTTAAATGATGATTGTACGAGTTGATGACTTTCTTCTTGGTTTAGGTTGTGAACATTTTCTTCAATAACTTGATACAAAAAGAATTTTAGTTCATTGTTTATATTTGATGATGTGGATTTTAATAGTAAATCTAGTGCTGTATTATAACCACTTTTTGATAGTTTGACTTCATTTAAAAATTCATATGCTTGATGTTGTAGTTTTTGATCAGATGAAGAATTCAAAGCTATTTGTATAGCATTAATTATTTGATCCTCCATTGACTAGTATATTGATTGTAATGCAATTTGTCGTAAAAAAAAATTAATATATAAATCAAAGGCAAAGTTTAAAGAAAAAAATGATATCTCAAATACAAATTAAAAAAAAATTTTAAATGGTGAACAGGATGCAATAAACTATTTGATGAAACAAGGAAAAAGGATTTCTTTATAAGATTTACTCAAGAAAGGAATGTGTTATGAAGTTGTTGAAACTTTTGGTTGTAAAAAAATTATATGTTTCACTAAGAAAAATTATTAAAGATCAAAAGAAGAACTTAAAAAAAAATATGTGAAAAATTATTTGTTTAGTTACCACACGACTAATTACTTACTTTATATATCCACATTGGTAATATCAGTAACAAACCTTTCAATTTTAATCTAAAACAGCGTATTTCTTTAAATGATCTGGTATAGCATCATATAATCCTTTTTCTTTTAACCATGACTTTGAGAAAATTCTATCAGCATATTTATGAGCTGAATCAGCTAATATTGTCACAACATTACTATTTTCTGGTAAAGTTTTAGCCACTTCAACTGCTGCAACAACATTTAATGCACCTGTACCTCCTAAATATAATCCTTCTTCATCCAATAATCTATATACCATAGTTATAGAGTCTTCATCTGGAATTTTTAATGCATCATCAACTAATTCAATATCATTTTTTAAGTTATCAGTTACTCTACCTTGACCAATACCTTCAGTAAATGATGATCCACCTCTTTGCATTTCTTGTCCATTTGATTTAATATATGAATATAATACTGAACCAGGTGGATCAGCTAAAACACTTTTAACTTTACCACTACTTATATCTTTTAAATATCTTGTTATACCCGCAAAAGTACCACCAGTTCCCGTTGAACAGGTAAATGCATCAACTTCTCCATTTAATTGAGCCCAAATTTCTGGACCTGTTGTTTCTATGTGTGCTTGTCTATTTGCAATATTATCAAATTGATTTGTCCATACAGCATTATCTAAACTTTCCGCATGTCTTTTAGCTTGATGATTATAATTTTGTGGATCTGTAAATGCAACTGCTGGTACTGGATGTACTTCAGCACCTAATAATTTCAAAGTTTCTATTTTGGATTTTGATTGAGTATTTGGCATATATATTACACATTTATACCCTTTAGCTCTACAAACATGAGCTAATCCAATCCCAGTATTTCCTGCAGTTCCTTCAACAACTGTACCACCAGGTTTGATCAAACCTTTTTCTTCTGCATCTTTTATAACATATAATGCAGCTCTGTCTTTAATTGAACCACCGGGATTCATAAATTCTGCTTTTGCATATATATTTCTACCAACTGATTTTGATATATTTGGTAATCTTAATAATGGTGTATTACCAATAGCTCCGGGAAAGCCAGTTTCACTAACTAATGGAACAAACGGTAATTTGACCTCACTATTCAACGATATTGATATTAATCTTTTCGACGTCCTTGAAAACATATTAAGTTGTTGTAGGTGATCAAAAATAAGTTGCAAATAATTAAGTATATTAATAATTTTTTCATTTCTTGGACCCTCTAAAACTTGTAAAACTCACGTGCTTGCGGTGGTTCAACTCCGTCATATCTGATTCAAATTATAGATTTTCAAATTCAAATACTACTGATAACAATCAACTTTGAGACTATTCATCAAAACTGAAAAGTTTGCATAAGAACAAAGTCTGATTAAATTCACACAATCCATATCTCTGAAGATTTTATATACTTGAACTGAAAAAGTATAAGAACTTTTGATATAATTTTATTCGACTTCTACTAAATTCTCTAATTTTGGTTTGAATCAAAATTGTTTATCAGTTGAGATTCTCTTTGTGTTCATAAAATCAGCTGCAGTTGGTTAGAACTTGTCAAAAAGTTATTAAATTTTCTGCAAAACTGACAATAAAACTAAAATCTGAATGTATAAAATCAATGCATATAAGCTAATTTGACGTCACCTTTATAACCGATTTTTTTCATAACTCGATGGTTGTGAAATAAAAATTCTATCTCGTATACTCCACTTAATGTAGAGAAAACTCGAGCATTGTTAACAAAAAGAAAAATACTGTTGTTATTGTTAATTTGTTCGTTCAACGATCAAGCTACATACTTTATATTATTCACAAACAATTACGAGTTTTACGAATATTAGAGTTCGTAAAAATTGAATATTTGAATTGAATCAACTTCATAAAGTGGAAAGTTTTTATCGTTGCTATCGCATTAATCACTCGGGTATTGAGGCTAGATTATTAATTTGATGAAACAATATAAAAGTCACTGGGATGTGAGCCCTTAAATAAAAAAGAGAGACTTAATGTGTGTGCTATAGCAATCAGTAGAAAGTAAAATTTTAATTCACTTCTTTCAATGTCTATACTAAAGTGATACGTTTGATTCAAAAAGTTGTAAATTTGATTTGTGTTCAAATCTATAGTTGTGTTGATCATTTGACTAAAAAAGGAGAGTAAGTTTTATTTCTATATTTTTGCACCAAATCTTGAATAAAAATATTGATAGCTATAATCACGGCAGATTTAAGAGGTGTTGATTATTTTACAACCGTTGATTGTTATGTACTCCATACATTATGCTTCTAATTTCCAAACTAAAACTTTAACAGTTTTATTTAAATTTTTGTTGGAGATATTAGTTTGAGATGTATCTTGTACTAATTCTGAAGTTTTATAGTGCGTGTCAAAAATCAGGATTTTTTAATGACCTACTGTCAAAATGTACTTCTTAACCAGGATCTTTAGAGTACCTAGTTTACGTCATTTTGAAAAAGTCTTTTCAGAAGCGACTCGGACTAAATTTTGATATAATATATCGAAATCCCAATTAATGAGTGGTAGCTAAAATGTTGTACCTCTAAAATTAACCGATCAACCTTATAATTACTATTTTACGAATAATTACATCAAATTAAGGCGGTTCTTAAAATTAACGCGTTAGATAGGTTCTTGTAATAAATCGAAACCCTAAACTTCACGTCAACAAAAGTGAAACCTACTTGCAAATCTAAGTCAAATTTATTAACCCTATGGTAGAAATTAGCATTTTAGTTGATCTAATTTTAGTTTTTACTCTTTTTTATTGTTGTAAAACTGAATTGTTCTCGATTGTCTGTTAATGCAAGAAAGTTCACATATTGTATCAACACATGGTACTGCAATCTTGGAGTCTTGTTAGAATGAGTATATCAGCATATATATTAGAGAGATAGTTTAAACAACATTCGTATTATTTCTTTTTGAGTAGATGTATTAGGGGGTGATTATTTATCTATGTAGGTAAACTAAAATCTAAAAATAAACTTGTGGTTGATTAAAATTATAATAATCGCTTTGCTAATTTGAAGATGTGATTTCTCAGGAATTATACAATAATTGATCGTTGATTGACACTACAAAAATTACCACTATCAGAACCGTAATTGACACCCGTTTTATTGATTAAGATTGATATGATTAAGATGTCTCGATTACAAGCAAGAGAAGAAACGGAATTTAATTCTCTTTTTTGCATATGACATTAACATTTTATTTTCAGCTGTACTATTCCCTGAGTAGTCTTTATGAAGAAACCAAATAAAAACAAACCCCATACCAATTTATTTTAATATTGCTTTACATGGGTAGTTTATTTACAAAATAGGACAAAACCTTTTGAAAAAAAAAAGATTTTCAAAACCTCATATTTGATACGAATTTTTCGCTTTAATACAATGTACATTTCATAGCTACATAAGTTTTCGACAAAACAAAGATCTAAAAAACCATTACATTTAGATTGCAGAGCATCAAAGTTAAAAAAGCGGAATATGGTTTCCTTGTCAACCATATTTTGTTTCCTCTATGGAAATGAGTTTATTGTTAGTGACTTTAGAAAATTAGCCCGAGATTCTACTTTATTTGAAACTTCGATCAATATCCTATTGATCTAATACTACGATTCAACTTTGACAACTCTCAGCTATCATTAATTTCCTCTTAATGACCTTTGAAGATAATCAGAGGCAAACACTGATATATAGGCTGAACATTGCTTCTAAAGTTTAAAACTCGAAATAGAAGTATCACAACCATTTAATATAGCAAATCTCCCTGAAATTAAGTTTAGTAATCTTGAATGGTTGACTAATAATTAAGAAAACCATAGCGAATTTAAACTTCGTGGTTTTTCATGCAAAGTCATCATCACAAACCGATTTAGGGATCTGAAACATCACGAAGATTTACCAATTTTTATTTTTTCCATATAAAGAAATTTTTTTATTGTTGAGGATATATTATTTGTTGCTACAAACACAGTGAAAGATATTTTACGTTGGCATTCTTTGTGTAAATTAACTATTAAACTGTCCTTTATTGCTCCTATCTGATTTGTGGTTTACTCTTCAAGACGTATCATGATGAATTTTCAATCAAATAAACAAAAAAGTCTTTTATTGAGATACTCTTGAAAATAATTTCGTAAATTACTAATTATTGATGTGAAAAATTGATGCATATTTCTCTTCCTTGTTTCTTTTTTTCAACGAAATTTATAAACTATTTTAACAGAAATACCTCGATACAGTTATTCTCGTATAATTTTGCGTGAAGAATTAATTAGTCTATTGTTAATTTTATAAAATCGTAAATCTTCTTTTAAGTTTTGTAACTATGTTAATAAACTCAATTTATAATTTATACCTTGTAATAACAAAAATTGAGGATCATTGTTATTGTATGCTTTTGCTGATATTCAAGAGTAGACAAAGAGTCGCTTAAGACCCTATAACCGTTGCATTGAAAAGGGTTCCACTAACTTAATACAAGCAATAGCAATTTGAAATAGAAGAGAATGTTAAAATCTGCAAATAGTGACTTCCAAAACTAGTTAAAACAATTATGAAAAAACAATACGTTTATTTTATACTAACCAATGAGTCCTGACCATTTGGATCACAAAAATGCAATCATTTCACACATTAATAGGTGTAAAATAGTTCTATACCAAGTATCAAAACCATGACAATATAAATAACGTCTCAGCTATGAGCAACAGCACTAAGTGGTGATGCGTTAGTAGGAGAATGAAATTGTGGATAACTAGAAGTAAGTAGCCGGGCCCCAGCAAATTGACCAGAAAGTAGTAGACAGTATTCACTTTTTGAAATATTTTATTATTTTCACATCGTAGTACAAAACTGAGTTTCAGATTTTTCAGGAATTTCATGTTTGAATACTTTGACTTACATTAATTAGCATGTTCAAGCACAATCTAAAACCTTTAAATTTCACGTCTCAATGATGATGTCAAAATTTTACATGCCTACCTTTATTCAAGGCTTAAGGCTGGATCTTACTTTGATGGTTTTTTGTAAAGTTTTATACTATTAATCAATTAAAGTGAATTTTAAACTTTTTAAATCTCGAGTCATCGAGACAATTATTGTTCCAAAACTCGCTAAGTTCTTTGTATAAATTATGCTAAACTTTTTGCCATTATTATTAACTCTAAAATTTTAATTTACGGTTATGTTATTGTAGTTTGAGGAGACAATTGAAACTAATGATTATTTCTTAAAATAGGCTTTTTTTCTCTTTTTCCTCTCTTGAATATATATAAACTACATATATTGAATCGAAACGGGTCTCATTCTAACAAGTTTAAAATGTTGCATATAAAATGTATTGAAAATAAACGTATGCATGATGAATTTTGTAACTGTCTTCATATGATATTAAAAATAAATATATTTCAGAATTTTATTTAAAGTTTTATAATTATCGGAATAAAAGGGTTTTAAATTTTACGACGTAAAACGATAATAAAAATTTTCAGCTTTTTAAGTTAAAACCTCTCTAATGCGGTTTGTACCTCTAAAAAAGAGCTTTTCAGATTTCATCATCTCTACTGATTCTTTCTAACTTCCATGATGCCCGATTTCTTACGAATCGAGTGATGTGAAGATGGTGTTGATCGAGGTTGGAAGAAATTTAATGAAGCTCACTAAATAATTTTTCCATCGAAGTTTTGTGTCATAACGGTTTATTTAACGCTTTTGTATCATAAGGTAACGTAGTATTTTTTCACATTTGGGTTATGAAAGGTACCAAACGGTGACTAACGTTTAAACATCAGCTCATTACTAAAAACATCTATCGAGGACAAAATGTGTCAAATGATAGTAGCGTTGCTCTCAATTGTGACAAGCCCACAAAAAAAGGGTCTCAAATGTTGAAAAAGAGAATTAAAATATTCAAAGACTTATCACCTTATGTGATCAGAACGATGCATAACCACTGATACGATTTTTCTCTTTTTTTTGTTGAAAAATAGAATGATGACGCTGATATTAATTTGTGAATTAGTCTGCAGGCATATCTTTGAATACTCGCCTTAATTTATTTGAACTGCTTGAACCTTGATAAATGTAATTCCTGAGGAGTCAAATTTAAATATATA